TTGGTAAGTGAGTGAGAAGGCCATAATAAAGCCTGTCCACTCACCAACGAGTGTATAAGTCAGGGAAAGTCTTGAAGGGACCCCTGTGAAGACGAGCAGAACTCCATTCCCTGCAGCCCTTACATCCTGGAAGCTGAGGTGCCTTCGCACGGACGAAGACTGAGGATGACGACGAAAGATGTATTTTTAATAATGTTTATTTATGTGTATTTTTATATTCAGGAAGGTAGAGGTACCGACACTCCTAGCTGTGAGGTATGCATTAAGACTACAAGAACAGGTAACCATATATCCCAGACCCTAATTTGGCATTCGCAATATGAGTGTAAAGGAGATGTATCAAGATGTAGATACTTAAATATAGAATATAGTGTGTGTCATTTAGGAGTAGGAGAACCTAAGTGCTTCAGTCCTGAGTATCAACCCCGTACAATTTGGTTGACTCTCAGAAATGGAGATCCTCAGGGGACCCTAATTAATAAGACGGTATTAAAATCCGTATATTCTTCAGGTGCTCTGCTATTTGATGCGTGTAAAGCAATATCAAGTGGTAGAAAGCCGTGGAATGTATGTGGGGATCTTAGATGGGAGAGGACGTATGGGTCTAACGATAAATATATTTGTCCCAGTAGTAAAAATAAATATGTAAGTCCAAGATGCCCAAATAGAGATTATAACTTCTGCCCATATTGGTCTTGTGTGGGGTGGGCGACTTGGGGACAGACAGTAGACAAGGACATGATTGTGACTAAGTTGCCTACTGATCCATATTGTAAGTCTATGGAATGCAATCCAATCCATATACTTATAAATAACCCTGACAAGTTCTTAGATAAATATGGTAATTTATTTGGGTTTCAAATATATGGGACGGGTTTAGACCCTGGGACAATATTGTTTATAGGGATAGAGACTGATACGGTAACCTCCCAAACTCATCAAGTATACCATTCCTTTTATGAAGAGATGAGCATAGATAATAAGATCCCCCATAATGCTAAAAACTTGTTCATTGATTTAGCCGAAAGTATTGCCGGTAGTCTTAATGTTACCAACTGCTATGTGTGTGGAGGTACTAACATGGGAGACCAATGGCCTTGGGAAGCAAAGGAGGTAATGTCCGGTTCTGAGGCAGTTGACCAATTAATATCTACACAAGCCGACTATCATATGAGTGTTAGAGGTAAATCTGAGTGGAGATTGAAGACCTCCATCATAGGTTATGTTTGCATAGCGAGGAAAGGAATGATGTATAATACTTCTGTAGGAGAATTAACTTGTCTAGGGCAAAAAGCTTATGATGATGATACAAAGAATACAACTTGGTGGTCGGCTTCAAATGTCTCAGAACCATCTAACCCGTTTGCAAGATATGCCAATTTAAAGGACGTATGGTTTGATCTATCCATCACATCTAACTGGAGAGCCCCAGCGAATTTGTACTGGATCTGTGGTAAGAAGGCCTATTCGGAGTTACCACAGGACTGGGAAGGGGCATGTGTGTTGGGTATGTTAAAACCATCCTTCTTCTTGTTGCCTATTGAAACAGGTGAGACTTTAGGTGTTAAAGTGTATGATGTGAATCATAGGAAGAAAAGGGGACCCATAGAGATAGGTGCCTGGGAAGATAATGAATGGCCTCCCCAGCGTATTATAGATTATTATGGGCCAGCCACGTGGGCAGAGGATGGTACCTTTGGTTATAGAACCCCTATTTATATGCTCAACCGCATTATAAGGTTACAGGCGGTGGTTGAGATCATTACTAACGAGACATCACAAGCGCTCAATCTTCTAGCGAAGCATAATACCAGGATATGAGGACAGCAGTTTACCAAAATAGATTAGCCTTGGATTATCTTTTGGCAGTAGAGGGAGGTGTATGTGGGAAGTTTAACCTGAGCAATTGCTGTCTTCAAATAGATGACGAAGGGCAAGCAATAGCTGAGCTTACTAGCCATATGGTTAAACTAGCGCATGTGCCTACTCAGGTATGGAAAGGGTACAATCCAAGTAGTTGGTTTGGTAGCTGGTATGAGTGGTTTGGAGGGCTTAAGGCAGTGGTAGGTGGAGTCCTACTGATTTTAATGTTGTGTCTACTCCTGCCGTGTCTTATACCCTTAGTAGTTAGGTCTGTGCAAAGCCTGATAGAAAATATAGCAGAGAGGAAGGCTGCTGCACAGATAATGGCAATTTATAAATATAAGGCTCTAGATCAGGGAGAACCAATGCAGGAAGACGAGTGTTGAAGATTCACATCATAGGATAAGTCTGGTCTGGTTCAAAGGTAACTTGTGGTGTATGCAAACCAAGGTTAAGTGATGCCTCAAGTAATTGTAAAATATCAAGAGGCATCAAAGGGGGGAATGTGGTGGAATCTCGGTAAAAATAAATTTAGTAGGCCGAGATTACCACGTGGCATGTGTACGTGCATATGCTGACGTATCGATCAGTTGGTTGCACGAGGCAAGATACGATCAGTAGTGTACGGAGCATGTGCAAGAATACAGGATGTAGTATTCCCCTCCTCCATTGTGCTGGACAAGCCATGCGGTCAAGCAGGAAGTTAATTCTTATTTGTAATGATTGGTCAAGAGAATGTGCGGGTGGAGCTTAATATGGGAGGAGTTATGTGCCTATATAGGGAGCCTGCACTATTGTTCAGGGCTCAGAACTTGCTGTATTTTTGGTGACATTAGTCCCTCTGAGTCCCGATCGGTGATCCAATAAAGAATCTCTTCCTTCCTGAAGAAACCTGTGTCCATCCCTCTGTGCTTTGCTTCCGTCAGTTTCTCCGGTATCAATCATACGTTTGAACTCCACTATCCATGGTCTAGCTCTTGTACCTCTATAAACCCAATGATCTTATTCATGCAGCTGTTGAAATTATTAAATATAATAAAATGCGATTTATACAATGTAACAATTGTCCTGTTCAAAAACATGGAATTGTACCAATCGGTCTAAACCAGTGGTAGTCAACCTTTTTCTACCTACCGCCCACTAATGCATCTTTTTGGTTGAAAAAATTTCCTTACCGTCCACCAGTTTTTGCGCAAGTGCAGAATATTTTTTCGAAAGGAGGGTGTTTTAAAAAATAAATAAATGTACGTACATTTATCTTTTTATTTCTACTTAATGCATGTTTATAATGTTTTTAACTTTATAAAGTTTAATGAGAAAACAATAAAGTAAATTGAAATTACCTTTACTAGTGATTAATGAGATCCTTGAGGTTGATGCTGCAAGACTAAATATTTGATATCTGGTTCGATTTTCATAAGGAACAAACGAAGGTCTCCTATTTCGGTGATATTCAGACGACTTCTCTGTTTGCGCATAATATGATTTCTCATCTGTGCGTCAGCTCCCCTCCTCTCCCTCCTCAATTCCCCTCCCCACCTTTCCCCCCCCCCTTTTTTTTTTAACCTTCCTTATAGCAATGCCCAGTCGGAAGGCTGAGCTAGGTATCCTACTTACTATCGCCCACTATAACAGACAGGCACACATACATACATACAGACACACACACACAATACATAAATACAGACAGACAGGCACACACATACATATAGACACACACAAGACACATACATACAAACAGACAGGCACACATACATACAAAGACACATGTAGACAGACATAAGACACACATACATACAAAGACACATACACACACACACACAACACATACATACAAAGACAAGACACATACAAAGGCACACATACATACAGACACACACACAACACATACATACAAAGACAAGACACACATCCATACAGACATATACACACACACACATATATATATATATATATATATATATATATCTATACAGACACACACATATATACAGATACACACACATATATACAAAGACACATACATACATACAAAGACACATACATAAGACACACATACATACACACACATACACATACATAGAGACAGAAACACACAAGACATACATACAAAGACACATACACAAACAAACACACACAAAATATTTTAGTCACCCTCCTGTTTCCTACCTTTTAGGTGCAGGAGGGTGACTTTCCCTGGGGTCCAGTGGTGGCTCAGGTGGATGGGAGTCAGAGTTCCCACTCTGACTCCCTCCTCCTTCCTCCCGCGTGGTCTGTGTGTTAGCTGGGAGGAGTGACGTGCAGTCACTTCCTCCCAGCGTGTGATGTAATCACAGGGGTCCCGGTCGCGCTGTTAAAGCACCCAGCGCTGACCTGGCCCCTTCACAATCCACATCCATCGGGTGGCCCCGACAGCATGATGGACCCCTCCAGGAGCTGGGTCATTCACAACAGCTTCCAATCAGGCGAGGTCTGTAGACCAAATTAACCCATTTGTGCCTAAAGCAGCTGCACTGTGTCCCAGAGACTTACCACCTTAAAGAGGACATTCACAAGGGGCTCAGTCCTGCACAGGGTTACTGCATTTATATTCTTTGTTTTTCCTCATTCCGTCTTAGTTCTACCCTATCTTAGTTTTTGTTTTTCTTCCATTTTAAGTTAAAGTGGTTAATTATTTTCAATAACTGGTTCCAAAAGCCAACTCAACATATGCTATACACAGCGTAATTCGCCCCTGTAATTTCACCTAAGCCTACAGCACCTTGGTCCATCAACTGTTCTTATCTCCTCTAGATTGTTAAATCCGGCTTCTAGGATTAAGCTGACAATCTGACATACTTACCCCACTCATAGCGGAAGACCCTACAGCAGACTGCAAAATTATCTTACACACAAACCTATGCATCACCTGTATCCCAACTCATTTTAAGCGTAAAATACAAAGGAAAACACATAACTGCACTACAGCCGGTTATGTTAAAAAAAACCAAAAAAACATAAAAACCCAGAGATAGGATCATAATACATTTCGGAATCTTTATGGTGAGAGATACTGGGATAAAAAGCCACAAAATGATTTTGCTTATGAAAAGTTGATCCAACATCTTAAGACAAGGATGTGAGTAAAACACATGCAACAAAGTATTTAATGGTTTTTTATTTAATATGATTTAGTACATGTTCGTTAATATTCTCTACATTCATATAGTCATCAAAATAGACTTTGTAAAAATGTCCTTCTAACATATTTTACACCCACACAAGAGTTACCAACACAGCATTTTTTTTTAGCACTTATTTAGTCCCTTAGGTTGTATTCTTGTCATTGCTTAAACGAGAAGCAAACTCTATTAATGTCCTTGTCGGGCGTCCAGCCATGCCCTTGCGCAGGTAAGGAACTTCGTCCTTATTTGACATCACTCCAGCTATGTCCAGATGAGCCCAGTGAGGTGCTGTAACAAATTCTTTCAGGAAGGCAGCAGCTGTGCAGGCACCAGCAGACCTGCAGAAAATATCATACAAGCCTGTTAGGAGATAGTGTGGATGGTGGACAAAATCTAATCAAAATTCAGATCTGGGGCAAAAGCTTTAGAACTGGAGCAATCATCACAGAAACCAATGGAATATCCCATCTCATTGCTACATTTTACGTTATTTCTTTCTCCTTATTGTCTAATTTTGCATTTGCTCCTTTAGATACATAATTTGACCTGAAATCAAAGCTCTGTTAAAGGGACACTATAGTCACCCAGACCACTTCAGCTCAGTGAAGTGGTCTGGGTGCCAGGTCCCTCAGGTTTTAACCCTTCAGAGAAACTGCTATGTTTACATTAGGGGTTAAGCCAACCTGACAGGCGCTAGAGGGGCATCTGCGATGCATGATGCGAATTTCGCATCCATTGCGCAGAGCGTCCATAGGAAAGCATTGAGAAATGCTTTCCTATGGACTGTTTGAATGTGCGCACGGCTCTTGCCGCGCATGCACATTCCACTCCACTCGGGAGCTGAAGTCGGCGAGGGAGGAGAGGTCACTAGCGCAGAGGGAGCCTGGCGCTGGATGAAGGTAAGCTGCTGAAGGGGTTTTAGCCCCTTCAGCGCTAAGAGAGGGAGACCCGGAGGTTGACGGCCCCTCAAGGATGACATAGTGTCAGGAAAACTGCTTTGTTTTCCTGACACTATAGTGATCCTTTAATGCTCAAATGTTTTTTCCTGCCTCTGCCACAGGCATTTGTATGTTTATCTACATGCAAGGCTAATATCTACATGGTATCTACCTACAATTCCAAATGTGTACATAGTACCAGATATTGTGCTGCTCAGCCAGACCATGCAAATAAAATTAAAAGGCACACTTCCTAAAACTACACAGTTTCTTTTGTTATCAGCTAAACATATTTATAAAATCAACCTAGTAAAATGCATTAGTGGATATTTTCAGCCTGGTTTAAAGTTATATAGCCAGTTCCAGTGCTGGTTGTATGGAGGTATATGGAAGCTGACTGTGCTCTACATGGCACGTTCTGTGATTACTCCAGAGTGGAGCATTTTCAGTACAGATTATAGACAATGTGAAGGACATTTGCTAAACTTCCACATTGCCAACTTGCGCCTGGAGCTGGAACCTGATATCCGGAAATAACTATTTTAGTTGTTTTTTTTTCTTTTTTTTTTAAATATATAGATATATAAAAATGACAAAAGCTAGTGTTGAAAGCCCAGGTTCTTATCAACCCATCACTACTTAGCTTCCAAACAAACCTTAAAGGGATATCTTAGGAACCAAAACAACAATGAGGCGGTTTTGGTGCATAAATAATTTACCTGCATTTTTACTGCTCAATTCTCTACCATTTAGGAGTTAAATCACGTTCTTTATAGAGTCCTAGTCACACCTCCCTCCATGTGACTTACATAGCCTTCCTAAACACTTCATGAATAGGAACCTAGATATTCTAGGATATTTTATTGTCTATTCTGTTTATTCCTGAATGTCTTATTTCCTGCTCTGTTAATCCCCTTCCAGACCCAGGAGGAGAATCCTGTGTGTGAATAAAGCTCCATTTACAGAGCAACCGATAAAAACTTCTAAAGCAAGTTATCATTTGAATGAAAATTAACCCATTTTCATCCAGGCTGTCATTCATGGGAGGTGCAGCTAGGGCTGTATAAAAAGAAACAAAAAAGTGAGCAAAGTTTGCAGTGAGACTCCAGGGGCATGATCTACACACTAAAACTGCTTCATTAGGTAAAGTTGTTTTTATGCCTATAGTGTCCATTTAAAGTGTTTCAGAATAGAATCCTTACTTAATTGGACCAACATATATGTAAGATGTGCACATTCAACCCTCAAAGAGCAACCTGTGTTTACACAAGCCTACTGTGCCTAATCACTAGCAGTAGAGCGGAATATGCAAGTGTTATTGTTCCTGGCTCAGTCACTTATTATTGCATCAATGCTGCCCTTTGGCCATACATTTTTAATCTGAAACTAACCAGAGTGAAATCATTCATCCATGCCAGAAAGAAGAACATCAGAAGAGACTCTCTCACAAATGTTTTTTTTCGCACTCATTAAAAATATCCCTGTAATCTGGCATATTACCTGCTATATTTCCCAACATTGTTAAGATCTGCAAGTGTGGATTCTGTAACTTGTTTACTATAATGGTCAAATAGAGGCATCCGCCATACACGGTCTCCAGTCACAATGCTGGCCTAAGAGATAAAGATGATATCTGTTAACAAGTTGTGCAATAGTATTAGAAAACATGCACATATGCACTTTAAAAAATAAACAAACTTGTTTTGGTTTCCAGTGCCTTTCTCTACTTGGGAACCAACACTATTAATACTGCAACATACATTTGATCCTTGAAATATCCCCAGTCTTAATTCTAGGTAGTAGACTATTTGTAACATTGAGACGCCTGACTATCCTCTCAGAGGAATAAAACAGACACATTTGGATTTACACCAGACAAGTCACATATTTTGGTTTTTAGGTGTATCTGTAGACTACTAATACTAAAAAAGAAAAAAAAAAAAAACACAAATTCAGTACTCTAATTTTAATGTATTATGAATATTCTATAATTCATTGGACTATTGTACGTCCTCTTGGACTGAAGAGGATTCATACTACAAGACTTAGGTGTTATTCCTGTGTACTTCGTCTGTCTGTTAATACAGGTTTTTGTTGTATTTTGTTTTGAGAATTTTGCAAAAAACAAACTTAAAACTAAAAACTCTACCTCTTGAAGGTGTGTCCAAAGCCAAGAGGAATTAGTAAAAACTCCAGTAGCTGCAGACCCCAATGCTACATCCATTGCACCTACAAAACAAAAACAGAATTTTGGTGTAAACAGTAACAATAGGTTTGTAATAGATTACAGTTGCAACCAGCGCAAGAGACACCACAAATCCAAACTGCTCAGAATTAACATGTTCAATTTATTAATCAATAAATTACAACAAAACTAGCAGCTACAAGGGATATCTCTGGTAGAAAAAACACTCCAGACCCCTAGAGCACTATAACTATAGCTTGCTTAAGTACTTTATGTGTGAAGTTTTTCATTTTACAAAAAGTACAGTTTTAAATAGAAATTGGTACTTTTAGAACTTAACTTGGTTACTCCCCCTGGCTGGCATACAGCCTGTCATGTTACTTCCTGGTTTGGTTAGCTCAATTGAGCTAAACTCGAGAGGCAACAATTGCCCAGAGCACCTGCCTTGCAAAGACTTCTCATTGAGCCATCTGTAAGCTTATAGAAGCTATGTAGCGCTAATCAGTTTCCACAACAGTTTCTTTCATGTTGTTTCATGAATGAAGCTGTCTATCATTCCATATTTGGTTACACCCTGCACTCCTATTAAAGATAACTGGGGTGCCAGAACTGTCCGAAAGCTTTTCAGATATTTTCATGACTTACTTGTGCATATGCAAATCTTGGATATTTGCAGCATAAGAAAGATCAATGACAAATGCCTTTTATTTTGTAAGATAGTTTTTTTTCATTTTTCATTTTATTCATGCATTATGTATACCATATATTAAAATGGGCGTCAACTATAACCTAGAATTGAACGAGTAAAAATAGTGGAATTTTATTTTCAAAATGGCAGGTCCATTATTTTGATGCAAAGAGCTTACTGCTGCTACTTCAACATAAGAAATGGACCCACAGTGACAATGATTTGGAAACTAGAGCAACAAAGCTTATTTTCTTTTAAATGGCTAAATCAAAAAGCAAAACCGTAATTTCTGTGGTACAGAAAATCCACTGATCATTCATCAGCTCCAATTGCACCCTAAAAATGCACAGTTTGGTGCCAACTCTGCAAGGCAGCAAATGGTACTCATTTAAAAGATGTAATCTTCTGTATCTAGTCGAACAAATCTCCATACGTTAAGTATTCACTGTATGGAACATCATTGAAATTGGTTCATAAATAAAAAAGTTATTGACTCTTCAAACCCTACTCTGAATTTTGGCCCACCCTGTATAATGACAAAGTTACCTGTTAGAGTTGCAGCGTTTACTATAGCTCTTGGATTGAAATTGTGTGCGTAGCACAGAGCATCAGCCAAGAGTAACCTCCCCTCTGCATCAGTATTATCCACCTAAAATAAAACAACTGTATCAATAGACAGGACAGCGACAAAACTGCCTTAGGTTACTACAAAGGATGTCTTAAAAGTAGATCTGAGCATGCACAAACACACTGCAATTTTAAACAAGGTTTTAACTCACTCTGCTGAAAATAGAACCTAAGTTTTTCACAGATTTTACAACTTGTGCATAAACCAAATCAGCCATGTTGCCAGTTCTTACAATATCACTTTAATCAATGTGTGTGGTTAACCAGGATGAAAGTCATATTTGTTTATGAATACACAAGAAAGGAAGGATGGCACTGACAAAGTTACTGCCATATTTACAATATACTAAATTACAAATAAAAATGCTGAGAATTTTACCTGAATTGTTTTCCCGTTTTTAGCTTTCACAACATCCCCGGGTTTGTTTGCTCTTCCATTTGGCATATTTTCACACAGTGCAGCCAAGCCTTGAGAAATCAGATGAATACAATGCGTTATTTAAAATTAAATCTAAATCTGTGATGGTGCAGACCAGCCACAGGGCTACGCTCCTGCCATATGGGGCAATAGAAGCTATAGTGGCCTTAGACCTGAATAGGACTGAACATCTCATATGTCCTATGTGTAGAACTCCTGGAATCCTGGAACCTCAGCACTGGTTTCAATTAGGATCTCAAAAAAAACTTGTGATATTGTCATTGGACTGAGAAAACTATTTATTTATTTTAGAAGCTCTGATCTTTCCAAGTATTAGGATCTAGTAGGAATGTTTTGTTACTATTTTATGTCTCTTCCAATATATATATATATACACACACACACACACATTTTTTTTTTTTTTTTTAAACTCACCAATAATGTTTAAGGGCAATTTTAATGTAGCAGCTGTCAGGATGGCGGAACACACTGTGGCAGCTCCACCCATGTCTGCTCTCATGGCATCCATTCCCGATGAAGGCTTCAATGAAATTCCACCACTAGAACAAAACAGATACATGTCCATATTTTACAAATTATTATTTAATAGGTTTAAAAGACATCCAGAAATGATCTGTGCTTCATAAGCGCATTTTATAGGTTTTGGCCTCATATTTATGCTTTGTTAAAAACCATGACACATCTGCAGCACCAGCCAACATCCCTACTATGAACAATTTTCCAGAGTTGTAGGGAGCTGACTCCCAACTCCCCCAACTGAGGAGCTCATCTATCAGGAATACAGTAACACCCACATTGGCTGAGACTTTTTAACAGTTGAGAAACTGATTCACATTTACAACGGGATTCTCCAAGGTTCAAACAATTCCAAATTCCAAGTGATTCCATAAGCTCATGCATGTATAATGGAGAAAAAGGAAACAGACTGGTGAACAATTGCACTCACAGTAATAATCAGGTACAGAACCTAACATAATATATATATAGTGTATCTATCAAACATCAATTCAAAGGAATCCAATGCTTCACCAGTATTGTTTTCGTTTTCTCTCTGTTGTATTGTAGGTTAGAGTCCAGCTCTTTGACGGTACTGGTGTGATCTTACTAGCAGGAGATACATAGACCTTAGGGTCTAGTGTTCTATTTGTGTTAGTGTTAATACTGGAGAAAAGGAGCAGTAAAATATCGAGAAGATTGGGTGTGCCCCGATTAGGCAACAGTTAGTTGTTCACTAATATGTAAACGTTCAGGAATCCAAAACAGAATTTTATGGAAAAAAATGAGTCAGCAATGTTTTGAGTTTACCTATTTTGGCCTTAACTTTAAAATTTACTTTTAATCCACCCCAAAAAAAAATCATACAGAATAACCCAGTAAATGAGATATTATAATCAGAATACACACATTGTTTATGGTTAGATTATATCTGAATGTTTCCCACAATTTAAAACTTACAACTATTAACTCACAAACATTTCTTTATAAGCCTCTCATTTCGGATAAAATTGGGGTAACGTTTTTTGTCTTTCCTCCTCCTAATACTGATCCTCCTCTTTCGCTCTCCCTTCAAGTTTGTGGTACCAACATCAGCCCATCCCTGCAAGCGCGCTGCCTTGGCGTTATACTTAACTCTGGTCTCACCTTTGAGCCTCACATCCCGCATGTTGCCAAATCCTGTAGATTCCATCTTAAAAACATAGCCCGCATCCGCCCCTTTCTTGCACCAGATACTACCAAGGAGCTTGTCCATGCTCTAATAATTTCACGCATGGATTATTGTAACCCTCTCCTGCTTGGTCTTCCCAAAAGCCGTACTGCACCCCTACAGTCTGTAATGAACGCTGCTGCTAGACTGATTTTCCTCTCTAGTCGGTTCTCTCACACCTCACCCCTCTGCCAGTCCTTACATTGGCTTCCCGTGTACTATAGGAGTCAATTCAAGGCACTAACTCACACCTATAAAGCACTGAACAACTCTAGCCCCTCTTATATCTCCGCACAGATCCACAGGTATGTCCCTTCTCGGTCTCTCCGCTCTGCCCGTGACCGCCTCCTGTCCGTTGTCCGCACCCGTACGGCCAACTCGCGCTTGCAGGACTTCTCGCGGGTGGCTCCCTTCCTATGGAATAGCCTGCCTCCCGCCATCAGACTCTCCCCTAGTTTTGCATCTTTTAAGAAGTGCCTTAAAACCCATCTCTTTAGGAAAGCTTATGGCCTCCAAGACTAACCCCTACCCCACATACCCGTCTCTTGCCCTCTCCTAAAGGGCAGCCCACCTTATTTGATTGCAAATTCCTGTCCTAATGTGTTTTACACCCCTCCTCCTATAGAATGTAAGCTCGATTGAGCAGGGTCCTCTTCAACCTATTGTTCCTGTAAGTTTATTTATAATTGTCCTATTTATAGTTAAATCCCCTCTCATAATATTGTAAAGCGCTACAGAATCTGTTGGCGCTATATAAATGGCAATAATAAATAAAATAAATAAATATTGGTATTTATTGCTTGTTGCAGCCTACCCAAATCTGTTTACAAACAAACGAAAACAACCGAACACAATATAAATGGATATTGTACCTGTCAAATGTAACGCCTTTGCCAACAAACACGAGAGGGGACTGGCTGGAGTCCGTGCTGCCCTGATAATGTATTTCCAAGAATACTGGTGGCTCGTCAGATCCTTTAGCTACACTTAAAAATGCTCCCATCTGTTGTTCCTCTATCCAGGGCTTTGTCCTTAAAAATTGAACATTTGTTTAACTGCAATCCGGCCACATAATTATACACAAAGAAAGAAAAAAAAAAACACATAAATCAGCAAATGCGACAAATACCAACCACAAGTCTCATTATTGTCAGTGTTTTTCGGCTACATATTCCCTTCTTCCTTATAAATCTACAGGCAGGAGATTTGGATTTTACAGAGCTGTAAATTAATACTCATAAAGACTAGCGCAGTCAACACACATCAAACTTTGTGCATTGTGTACAGCATGCCAACTAGTGTTTTTCATTTGCATTTGCAAGTGGGTCCGTATATTACCTCTTCATTTCTAGGGATGAATAAAGTTAGCCTGGTGTCTTGGATCACTCTATCATTTGCACATATCATGGAGGATTGTTCTGGACATGGAGGCGGACATTCACAGGTGAATTACTGGGCTCTAGTTATTTAATTTAATATTCTGATGCATTTTCTGCATTATGTTTAATCCAGAAGTGTCCTAATAAATCAGTGTTCCCCCACCCTTTTAATTTTTTAACAGAAAACCATCTAGTCATGCAGTGATTTACAGCAGTGGAGATTAAATACTTAAAAAAGTGAATGGGTCAGTGAGTCAGTGTGATGCATGGAGTGATCACTCTTACCTGGTGAAAACCCTGACATTGTCTTTGAATGCTCCCAACTTCTGTTCTAGAATCTCTGCAAACTTTGTGGGCGTCATGTAGTTTGCTGGGGCTTCCATCAAGTAACGAGCCAGATTCTGGCCTTCTGCGTACAGGACACCCTTTTGCCAGGATGCTTGGTCTTGGCTAGAAGACCACAGGTAATTAAAACTTACTCGAACAGAATTGGTTTTATTTAGGTGTTAAAAGAAAACAAGTAAGCAATCACCAGGAAAGCATTATCACAATCCGCCTGGGAGGAGTACTAAACTTTATTTTTGTCTTATTACCTTTGATATAACTGTGTGGCAACCACTTTTTTCTTTTTCTTCTTGAGTTCATCATATTCAAACAGCCCTAAAACTGCACCCTCTGCTGCAGCCTGTGCATCACCACAAGAGTCCACTTCCACTTGCACAACCTCTAGATCTTGCATCTGTCTGCAACCCACTGTGCAAGCAAGTAAAGAAAAAACGTCTTGTAATACAAATGGAGAGATCCTTTAAAAGGGGAACTATTGTTTTCACACTCGCGTGTGCATGTGTACAGCATTGAGGTCTGCAGAGGATCTGGCAAAACTGCGGAATCCTCCATAGATAGAGTCAATTCCTTGCAGCAGCCACTGCTGACTACTGGGGGACTGAAATTTGTAGATAGCAGCGAAATGAAATTAAATATACATTTTACAGTTGTGCGGGACAATGCCGCTTTAAGGTAGTTTCAGTTTATCATACGTGATTGTGTTGAGAAAGGCACTGTCTATAGACTTAACATCAACACTGTGTAGAAACCAGGGGCCGCAGGATGCTGAAAGAGAATCAAGCCTAGAAGTCCAATATGAGACACTTAGTATGCTAAATGGTGCTATTATTATTATTATTATTATGATTTTATATAGCGCCAACATATTCTGAAACTCTTTACACAATAGAAAATGGATATAAAACGGTAAAGAAAGCCCTGCTCAAACAAGTTTACAATCTATAATGATTTAAGGTAGGTGGATATATATCGTTAGGTGTCTTGCCAAAGGACACTTACTGGTAAAAGTGACATTATCACTGCTCTACTATCACAGGTCACACTTGCAAATGACAAATTACCTGAGACAGCAGTCCTGATATTTTCCTTGCTCTCATTCCAGTTTTCCAGATGATCGATGCCAGCTGACTTTTTACCAAGTCCCACCACGAGAACACTAGGGAAGTCCTATTGCAAAAAAAACAGAAAATGGCTATGCTTAAACCATTTCTGTGAGACCAGTAGTGAAATTGATATAGTAATGCAACTAGTCTCTGTTAATAAATCAATCACAAAGAAAATTTATTATGAAAGCACAGTTATCTAATTACAGTTTAAAAGGTTGTTTCAGGTAACATAATAAGATCATGCTCTTCTCTTGATCACTCTAGTGAGCTTGAATTCTCAAACACACTGCAGGGAAGCAACTGTATAGCTCACAAAATGGTACTGAGAATGTAACTTGCAGTAGCCATGTTTGGTTTATGCAGTGAGACACGGCTAATTTCATTACCAAATCGATAGTTAATAACTAAAGGCAAAATAAGAGAAATCTGAGTGTGAATAGAGAGGAGAATGTATACGGTCTTGGATCTGGTTTATTTCTTCTATTTGTGGGGTGCACATCAACATTCCATTATGCCTCCTGGATATCTCTGATTAAATACAAGCTGATACATAAAAAACAAACAAAAACAAAATGAACAACAAAAAAAACCAAAAAAACTGATCAAACTGGTCCCAACGATTTACTTAAAGGATCACTATGGTGCCAGGAAAACAAACTCGTTTTCCTGACACTATAGTGCTCTGAGGGTGCCCCCACTCTCAGGGTCCCACTCCCGTGGCGCTGAAGGGGGAGGAAGGGGTTAATCCCTTACCTCTTTTCCAGCGCCGAGCTCCCTCGGCGCTGGGACTCTCCTCCCTCTTCTTCCCTCAGCGGCTGAATGCACAGCAAGAGCCACGCACGCATTCAGCCAGTCCATAGGAAAGCATTTTCAATGCTTTTCTATGGATGCTGGCGTCTTCTCACTGTGAAAAATCACAGTGAGAATTGCGGAAGCGCCTCTAGCGGCTGTGAATGAGACAGCCACTAGAAGCTGGATTAACCCATAGGTAAACATAGCAGTTTCTAAGAAACTGCTATGTTTACAGCAGAAAGGGTTAACCCTAGATGGACCTAGCACCCAGACCACTTCATTAAGCTGAAGTGGTCTGGGTGCCTATAGTGGTCCTTTAATTAGAGCCCCCTCCCCATAGGTAATAAACATATAAATTATCATAGAGGTAAACAACAAATTCAAAATATAATTGAGAACTTTTGTAAACATTACAGGAGTCCAGCTACAGAAGACCACTGCCATATGTAGGTGTTACACTATTAATACTGCACCTATTGCCCACCACGTTCTGATTTCATTTACCCTACACTTTAGCCCTTTCATTGCAAGGTATGAAGTATGCAGCACAGACTGCTGTGGAACATTAACATCAGAAACCTCAACCAGCTATTGGATCAGGGAGTGGTATTTTGCCAAAATAAACTGTCTGCTTTAAGTGTTAACAGCCTAAGGTCACCTGCTCTTTGTGTCCACTAATTAATAGCTGCTCTAAATAAGAATGCCAAACGTTAAAATCTAGACACAATAGTCCCCAACCCAGTCGTCAAGTCTAGAATTTAAAGGGACACTATGAGCACCCAGACCACTTCAGCTCATTAAAGTGGTCTGGGTGCCGTGCCCTAGGTCCCTTAAACCTGCTGTGATAAATATTGTAGTTTTTAATAAACTGCAATAATTACCTGATATGGTTTACTCCACCTCTAGTTGTGGTCTACCCGAGGGACTTCCGGTCGTTAGGCGACTTTTATTCACCTCACTGACGCTGTACATTCTCACACTATGCATAAGGATATCAAGCGTCACCCAAAACCCCATAGGAAAACATTGTATAAGGTTGAAGTCAGTGGGGGGAGGAGCGAAAGCGGAGCCTGAACCAGTGACGAAGGACATTGGTGCTAGAATCAGGTGACAGAAGGGCTTCTGCACCATGGGGAGGAGGGGCAAGGGATGGGGCACTATAGTGCCAGGAAAACAAATTTGTTTTCCTGGCACTGTAGTTTCCCTTTAAGCATTTCTCATTTATGTTTCTATGTAAAATACCAAGACAACTGGGACCATTTGTGTACCTTGAGGACAGGACTAGAAACAACAAATATAGATGTCCCATTAGGATGCATACAGTTTAATATATTGCCACCATTACTGAATGCATTTTGGCGTTATTTGGGTTTTGCATAAGTATTTAAATGGTTAGAAACATAAAATGTATTTCTGAACATTGAATATTTTGTGGAAGAGTAAGGAAGCACCTTCCCTTAGCCGCACAGGCAGTTTTTTGTTTTTTTGCCATATGCCCTGTTATGGGCAAGCAGCTACAACAGGGGGACCTGGGAAAAATAGGACTAGTACTGGAAGTGTGTGATGGTTAAGATGGACAAATAGATAGGGCTACTGCTTTATTCCTTTGGACAAGCAGATTTTTTTCCACCGCTCCTCTGGATAAAGAGGTTGTTAATTCTGTAAGGCTCGCTAGATACTTGAGTTTCAAAAACAGGGCACCAGCAACATCAATCTGATCATTAATTTAACATAGAGAAATACCTCATGTAAGCCGTAGAACATTCGTGTTTTGCCTTTTTTGAGTGAAGGACCAGATCTTTGCATCCATAAGGAAAAGGTGAAATATTTGAAAAAGACAAAAAGTATAATTTAGCTTAGTAACAGAGAAAAAGAAATATAGCTCAGTTTTAATAAAAAAAAAACAAAAAAAAAAAAACATGCAACTTTACTATTATAATGAATATTATTTCTAGTATGAAGGATATCGATCATTTGTCAGTTGTGATCAAATAAAGTTTTCCATTGAGTGTGAAGAGTGCATCCTTTTTTTATTTTGGCAGTGCATCTTTTAAAAAACACAGAGTATCTTAACATTCTCCAAGTAATGCCTACTTGGAGAATATTGTGGTTATGGTTGCATAAAATGGAGGTTACCTCGTTAACTGATCCCGCAGCTTTCCGGAAACAACCTTATCAAACGAATCACCTGCATTTGTGAATTTGAAGTTCTCCTCTTCCTTCTCAGTTTCGTATACTCCCAAGACAAGGCCCTAAAATCACATTATTGTTATGATTTATTTTTAATTCAGATTTTTATTTTTTACAAAAGGTAATAAAATTGATCTTTAATCTATTGTCTGTTGTGCACACATCCGCATAACAGCCTTGATTACTGTGACATTCAGAAGCTAAATGTACCAACTGACAATGTGACATTATTAACACTAACCCCATGTAGTATAATGTGGTTTTGTTTCCCCTGTATCAGTCTTTCGTCTTTATCATTTTATGTCGACCACTAACATATATGGCAGTGCTGTACAATGAGGGTGATAAGCATTTTTATAATATATATATATATACACACACACACACACACACACACACACAAAATAATAAGTTGGTGATAAAGTGAGAATAAACAGTTAGTGATACAGAATAATGTATGGTAATTCACAAAAGTACATGGGCCTCAATTTAATACGCTTTCCAAAAACTTCCTAAATGATTTATCTACAAACATTCCCATAGGCTTTATTGTAGACTTCTGTAGATACGTCATTTAGAAAGTTTTCTAACTGTGTTTTTTAACTGGCAAGCTTGTTATATCAAGGCCATGCATGGTCAGATATAAAATTCAAGAAAGCATATCCAGTAAACCATACTAAAATGTATGCAAAGAATATAAAAAAATAAAAAAGGCATCTAGATGCCTACAACATGAAACGAAAACCTAAGATATAAGATAAACTGATTGAGCAATAGACCTGCACTAAGTGTGGGGGAAGGGATGGGTAAGCGAGACCAGGTATTTCATAGCGATTCGCTGAACATAAATACTCGAGGCACCATGACCACTTCACTTAAGCGACTATGGTCAGTTAAACCCATCATTCGATGTCAGGCACAGTCTTTCTGGGTGTTACAGGAGTCAGAGTCCACAACATCTTCATTGTCCACATTAGGTGACGGTGTACACCTGCAGTCAAGAAGCTGTGGACTGGGACTCTTACTATTCTCAGTGCCAAGTTACTGTCTCTAATATATGTATTAGATAAGGATGTTTATCACTGTAGCCTGTGCACGCACACAACAGTATCCAGTAAACTCATAGTAGCTAACAAAAAGTAGATTTACAAAGCTGATCCTGATATTTAATTAAAATCAGCTATTTTAGCCTCTGCTCTATCCACTATTATCCAGAGTGACTAACTCTGCACTGGTAACAAAATGAGCTAGGTGTGCCAATACCGCGAGAATTCTAACTATGTCTATGCTACTATCTTATGAACAAAGCATTATTACAAGATTACTATAATGACAACTGATATTTGAAGTCACTATTTTGGTAACAAATCAGCATGCATTTAGGTTCCTCTGTTACCCTTTTGTCATTTGGTGCCCAATATTGCTGCTAAAACGTTTGCACTGATTTCTGCAAAACTGTAAAAAGTATATTTTGTGGAGGCAGCCCAAATAATATTTTAATAAGTGAAGGGGTTAGAACTATCAAGCTGTTAATTTATTTATTATTTTACAGTTAATTGCAGGACGTAGATATAATACACAGCAACTTTTAAACCTATTTCTTTTAATGACTAGTTTTGTTTTGTTTTTTCCATTAAATAATTTTAGCCACACCAAAACATATCGAAAGCTTAATACATATCTATTGATAACATGTTTAATACTTTGAAAAACACTTCTGGGATACAATTTAAATACCGGGTACAATAAAAAAAAAAAATACAAAAAAATAAATCTAGGAAGTGGAAAGAACAATACTGAAGCAATCATTTTGGGGCACAGAGCAATGTTCCATGCATAACAGGCTATGTCAAAATTGATTCAAATGCAAGGTTATTCATTTCCAGATTAAATATCCCAACTAGAACTCTGACCAAAGTCTATTATGCAACATGTGTAATAGGTATGTTAACGTGTAAATTAATATGGGGGTGGGGGGGGGAGAAGGAGAGATTTATCCCTTTGAGTAAGACAGGTGACACCTGTACCCCCTTGGCACTCAGTTAATGTGTTCTTTATATTAGCTGTAAAAAAAAAAAATAAGAAGCTTGTGCACTTCTGCCATACAGAATTATGTCCAGGCAAGAGCCTTTTCATATAATGTAAACTTGGGATAAATGTATGTATTGTACCTTCTTCCCAGGGTGATAAGCTTGATGAGACACAGAGAATCCCCTACAGCAGTTCCAGTTTACACCTCTCTGCAGAGCAGCCCGGAGAGACAACATTGTGTGTAACCTCCAGGATCAGCTGACTGTCCCAGATTGTAACATGTGCAGTCGGTGTCGCACAGTGATGACAGGAAAAAGCCAAATCCTAACTGCACTCTGATTGGTTAGCTTGCAGCTCAGCAGAACTTTCTCTCTGTGATTAATTTGCTGTTCTGTTTTCATTTGTATCTCAATATTATGGCTGCAGTTAAAGGGGAACTTCTGAAAATCCACTTGTGAATAAAGCACTTAAAATAATCTTTAACTTGCACAACATTCTTCATGCAATGATCTGTATTCCTGTACATGCACCATAGCCACTACAGCATCATACCATCTAAATGTCCCTATTTAGGAGTGACAGTCCCTGCTCTGTGCCCAATTTGCCTCTGTCCTTTTGTATCCTAATATTCCTCTTTCCTAAGAGCTCCATATTTTTGGTGTGTTTGAGTGTATAACAGAGCAGCTACATAGCAAAAATACTCACAGTAATGAATTTGGATATCAGGCTGTGTGAATAAGATACATTGCCCGCTTATGTTCTAAATTTCATTTTACTTGCATAAATTATTAAGAAGTCAACTAATAGTTCTCAGAACAATCCTGGGGAAAAGAAAACACACACGGACAAGCACGCATGCACACACATTAATGCGACTATTTTTGGGTATGAAATGGTGAATGTGTCTAGGTGGGTGGGGGGATAGTAAGGGGGACAGGGCTGGGAGAGGGTGAGTGTTGCGGTTGCCTGTCGTGTTGTGTTTGTGGGGGGAAGCTGTCCGGATTGTATGTTTGTCGGATGCTGCTTGTGGGGTTGCTGTTGTGGGGGCTGCCTGCTTGTGTTGCATTTGTGAGGATAGGCTAATTGTGTGTTGCTTGTTTCTGCGAATGCTGCTTGTGTGCTTTTGGGGTTGTACTGTAAAACGTAAATTCATACCAGTTCTATATGTAGATGGATTTTAAAAATCCAGTATTCTACCTACATACTTATACCTCCAAACAGTCTTAGATCCAGCAGGACCGCTGCGTTTTGAGGTTCATTTCCTACACCCCCAGGGAGTTGGTTCCCTGGTGTCTTGAATCTGGACCGGATTGCCCACAAATTTCTAATGGCAGCATTGTCTCTAGTCTTTCGTTAAAGAGGGATCTTCGCTCTGCTTGGGGTTTAACACTAGTCTGGTGAAGATGCCCTTAGAATGAGAAAAGGTTGCCTTGCTTTGGCAATAATTTCTGAACTACAGCATGTACACATGGCTACAATTCCAGCATGTATTTATCTCTCCATGGTCTTTTTTTTCTTTTTTTTTTTTTAATCAGAATATTTGTACAGTGAAAGCATGACTTCCAAAATAGTGGTCTTATTAGCTTTTACTTGTAAATGGCGTTCAGTGCATAAACATATAAAAGGAAAAAAAAACATATAAAACACAATAAAATAATCTATAAATGCATTTGCCATCAGAAACCGGGTATGTTGTTTTAATTTAGATTTCAAATGTTTAGTAGTTTTAAACCTGTTTTAATTTTAGGCTTTTTTTTTTTTTTTACTTCATCAGGGAAGTATTTGTGCGACAAATTGTACACAATAATTCACTCATCCTTCTTTGCATACCTAGCATCCCCTACAGCAAGCATGTCAAACTTGCGGCCCACAATGGACATGCTTAGTGAGTGTGTGTGTCTGTCAGTGAGTGTGTGTCTGTCAGTGAGTGTGTATGTCTGTCAGTGTTTTTTTGTCAGTGTGTGTCAGTGTCTGTGTGTCTGTCAGTGAGTGTGTGTGTGTCTGTCTGTGAGTGTCTGTCTGTGTGTGTCTGTCAGTAGCGGGAGGATCAGATTTGACAGAGGATGCGGACAGCGCCATTTAGGGTTTACCAGAGGCAGGACTCCGGAGTCTCATACTGGCAGCTTCAATGTTAGTGGATTCTGCTTGTTGGCTAGAGGGGGGTACTGGGATTTACAAAGCTGATCCTGAAGCCATTTGGGGTTTACCAGAGGCAGGACTCCGGAGTCTCATACTGGCAGCTTCAATGTTAGTGGATTCTGCTTGTTGGCTAGAGGGGGGTACTGGGATTTACAAAGCTGATCCTGATATTTAATTAAAATCAGCTATTTTAGCCTCTGCTCTATCCACTATTATCCAGAGTGACTAACTCTGCACTGGTAACAAAATGAGCTAGGTGTGCCAATACCGCGAGAATTCTAACTATGTCTATGCTACTATCTTATGAACAAAGCATTATTACAAGATTACTATAATGACAACTGATATTTGAAGTCACTATTTTGGTAACAAATCAGCTAGTATATGGGGGCATGGTGATTTAGTAGAGGGGGGGACTGGGATTTAGTAGAGGGGGGTGCTGTGGTTTAGGAGAAGGGGATACTAGTGTTTTTTTTTTTTTATACTGTACTTTTCAAAAAAAGTTTCTATGAAAATTTAAGGTTTTGGTTTATTTTTTTGCGGCCCACATAAACTTAAACCTTGTTTATGTGACCCATGCCAGACTTTGAGTTTGACATGTTTGCCCTACAGTTTAGCAACCATATTGCCTATAATACATTTAGAAGATTTTAGAACACATAGGCAAGATTTATAGGTATTACCATGGTTCATACAGTTATTTCCATGGTGATTGTAAGTTACATTCCTATAAATCTCCACATTAAAATTTTAAACATGGGCAGCCAATTGGTTCTTATCTGCTGTAAAATAGGCATCTATATAGAAGGAATAGAAAACACTATCAAATTTGTATTCCTAATACTATAGTGTCCCTTTCCCTATCTAGATTCCCCCCTTAGTTTGGCATAAACTCCCTTGGCGCTGCTCACAGTGATGTCATCGAGGAGGCATGGGTTGATGGTCCAGTTCAATGCCTCTCATAGAGGAGGACTGGTGACCTGGTGCGCATGCGCAGCAAATGCCAAGCACTTGCATCCAATGCAGTATGACAGCGACTAGAGGCGTGTTTAACCCTTCAAGCTAAACATTGCTCTTACTGCAAAATGACAATTTTTCACCTTAAAGGGTCGAACATACAGGACCACTGCATACTTCAGTGAGATAACTTTAGCATACCTTCCAACATCGACAGTCCCAGCATCCAGACGCCAGTGGGAGGGGGTAAAGGAATTGCTGGCATCACTGGCATAGCTCAAAAAAAGACAGACCTGCATGAATAGGAGTGGACCGGGCTAGAAAGTGGGCTCATTAGCCTGCCAATCATTAAACTCAGCCCACTGAGGGCTGACTCAGCAGGGAGCACATTTCAGTGCTCCCTGCAGAGCCCTACTGCTCTGAACATAGCACAAGCACGTCTTATAATGCCCTTTGTGCTATAATTCTTAGAAACAGGACCCGCAAATCGGGATTGCCCCACCTTAGTTGGGACTTTTGGGAGGCATGCTTTTAATGTCTATATTGAGTGAGTGCTCTGGACATAGCACAAACGCATCTTAATTGCACTATAATTGTTGGGGACAGTTCCCTGGTGTCCCAAATAGTGGAACTCCAGGGAACTAAGGCAGGACAGTGGGACAGGATCTGAAAATTGGGACTATATTGTCTGTATTGAGTGAGTGACTTCCACATCACCACACCAACTCTTCTGTCTCACATGTTCTGGCAAATGACTCTATAATTAGTTTATATTTATTTTGTGCGGAAAAACTAAGCTTACAAACTACATATCACAACCAAACGGTAAATATCTAAACCAAATGTAAACACTCTGTCAAGCCTTTAGGATATATTTTAAAGGCTCTCTCTCAGTAACCTAATTAGTTAGTAAGTCCATTCTTCCTTATCTCTACCTGCTGAGTGACAGGCTCAGTAAAATGCCTGGCTCCATGAATTAAGTAATCATTGTAACATAATACATATGACTGAAATGTGACTCTGCAGTCTTAGTTCAGTATTGTGTCTCTTGTACCACTCAATTCAATATGAAAGCATTGGTCAAATCGTTAGTTGCCATTATCCATCTATTTTTATCTGACCAAGAAACACAGTTGTTGGACAACCTATTGTTTATGTTATGTTCATACAGTATACTATTATTAATATGACACTTTTTCAAATGCCTATAAAAAGACAATAAAAATAGTAATAAATGCAGCACAATCCTTAACACGATCCTTTATTTTGATGCTAAGAACCAAACTACTGTTCAAAACCTTTTGAAATTTGTGACATCTTTGCAACAAACATGTCACAGATCATATTGTTTGACAGCCATCTTGATTTTGGCAACAAATTTGCTTAATATGCTAAAATCTTCATTTCTACAACCACTTATGCTACAGACAACAAATTGCTGTGGGAGGTTATGCTGTGATCGACTAAAATGTGTTAATGGGAAGATGATTGGTCACACGATTTCATATGGCACATATGTTTCCCAAAATTCTTGAAATATCTTTTTTTCTGAGAATATTTGTTACAAGATTACAAAACTGGCACACCTATTCATAACTTGCACCGTGGTTGTTAAACGTAAGTCCATATTAACATTTATTTAACTTTAGATTTTTCATTTCTACAAATCAACGATCCTAACAATTTCACTCCATGCAATATCCACATGTGTGATGTAGCCTTACTCTTATATTTGATCATCTCTATTCGTCAATCAATCATGTGGTTTGGCAGTCATTTTGAAATAGTCAAAATTTATTTAAAGGGACCCTGTAGGCACTATAGCCATTTCAACTCATTGAATCGGTTATAGTGGCTGGAGTCCTCAGATAGTGTACCTCCCTTCAGCGTTACACCATTTGTGACCAGTTTAACACTAAATAAAATCCCTCCCCTCTCCCCCACCAGAGGATAAAGAGGAACATTTTTATTTTAGGAATGAGGTTGTGGTGTGTGGTGGCCACAGGCTGGACTGTTCTGATACATTTTAGGTTCCTTAATAATAACAATTTATGCAATTAAAATGTAATTTAGAACAAGAACAATGTACCTTATTTATACAGAGTGATTTCTAAACACATTTATTATAGTTTAAATTTGCATTACTGGGAGTATTATTGCTGTGGAGCTCTGTTATACACTCAGACACACCAACAATAGGAAGCTCCTAGAAAAGAGGGATATTAGAATAGAAAAGAGGAACAGAGGGATTTGGTCCCAAAATAGGCGCTGTCCTTCCTAAACATGGACACCTGGGAGGTATGCTATAGAGCAGAATTTCCTTACAAAAAGCAGAACTTTAATGGAAATTTTGATTGGATTTTCCAGGCATGGACCTGGAAAATCATCTGTAAATTTGGCTGTATATATGACGCAATTCCATCTTCTTGATGGTAGATCCACATACAAACAAGGCTAGACAAATCAGTATCATACAAATGGTGTGGTTTAAGTCAATGTACCAAAACAATATGTCTTTTGTGTTTTATAATGTTGCAACGCAGACATTTACAGTACTGAATTTCATCATTCCACTGTGTGCATTATAACTAGTTAATTAGCAATGAGTGCGTAATTCTAGTATTGCATCCTGGGCACCGTTTTCAGCATGTTGAATTTATTATAAAAGGACATCAAAACATCAAAACATGACTGGTATATAGAGTGACTTTGGAAGAACAAGTAAAACAATCCAAATGATTCATTTTTCCCAGAAAAAAAACCTCATCAGGAAACAAGTAGAGACAAAAATAACTAAAATAAAATTGTGTTTAACATAATTCGAGATAATACCACTTGTGCTGCATCTTAGTATCACAGAAAAAAATGTCAATATTTTTGCACATAGCATAAAAAGTCTCATGTCCGTGGAATGCTGTACACAAATAAAAAAACAATTAATTTTTTACTGATACAATGCAGATTCTGGAACAAAGGCTACTAAGTCTAAAGCCATTTTCATTGCTAATTGTCTCTATGTAACAGAGAAAAATCATAATTTCAATCAACAGATTGAGGGAATAAAGAAAAGCTGCCCTGAATACTATAAATGGTATGGTAATTATAAAACATAAACAAATAGGGCATTTGACTTTTAATCACATAATTGGTACTAGTGTATGTGGAAGTAAGCAGTGCCCTTTAAGTGACTATACCAGATTACATGTTCTTATTTCTATAGGACACTAGGAATCTAGAACACCACAATAATTGCTGAGGAACATAAATATGACCGTGTATGCCGGCGAGGCACTGGTGGTCCACTGTATTTCAGTGAGATGTTCACCCTCTGCCTTTCTCCTAGGCCCCTCAGCTGCCCAAGTAGCAAAGTAATCACACCACAAGTAAAAACTAGATGACCCATCACTTCCCACATTAGGAGAACACAAGACCACCCATCCTACTTTCAGTTAGAAACTTGACTCTATAACAAGGTTTCACATCCATTAGCATCTCTTGCACATTTCTACACCTTCCAATTCCCTTCCTCTCTCCAACCACAAGTTCTTTTATTGAGTATGGAAGCAGGGTTCCTGTCTTAAAGCACCATGTAAGCTTTAAGACAGGCAGAGATAGATCCTAAACAAATGATTAGTACATGATGTCCTCTGGAGCCACATTTGCTTCTTCTGTCTTAGTCTTAAATTTAGGGAGGCGGATCGCACTCGCTGCCATTAGCAGCATGTTTACAGAGTGTGTTGCTCCGCTTGCCACACATAGCCAGAAGGAGTCTTCATACTTTTCTTCCAAGATGACTATCCTGAAAACGTTTTCGCGGAAGTTTGCTATTCTTTCTGTGAGTTGATGGAGTTGAACGGCAGCAATAAAGCTTGTTATAGCAAATACAATGAACAAACCTGCAAGGAGATAAAAAGTCAGATTTGACTTGCACATAACTGATGAATGGATAGACAGATGGATGGGTGAATGGATCAGTTGATAATGTGATGGATGAATGTATTTAAAAGGTTACTAGAACCACCATAATCACTATGGCCTACACATTTCAACCAGGTGAGCTGTAGGCTTCAAGTCCCTATTAGTTCAATTTGTTTCACTTGCACACCATTTAGCCCAGTACTATAAGGTGTGTGTGTGTGTGTGTATAATAAAGTTCAGTATCAATCTGAAGGACACAGTGTTTATCTAACTGGTCCTCTTGTTATAATGCTCCTGTTGTTCCATTGATAATCCTTGTGCAGTAACTTGACCCACAACACCTTCAGTTGTACCCTGTTGTAATCTGTAACAGTTGCATATTCAATAGATTATGCCCCTGGAAAATTGGAGGTGGTTACATAAGTATTAATGATGCACAGCGGGTTACTCCAAGCACCATGGCTAGTTCAGTGATTTGATCATGGAGCCTGGAGTCTGTGTGTGACTGCAAGAGGTATAACCCCACCTCCGGCAGCATCATTAACTAGCCTGCAACAAGAGTTCCATACTGGCTACTGTCGATTCTGTGCATATTTGATGTCTGTCATCGGCAAGCATAGAATGCTGTTGACAGATGACTAATGGTATGTCCTCCGGGATGTCCCTTCACCTGCAATGACAGAGGAAGACTGGGTTGAGGGAGAACTGGACTCAGCATTTGCCTGACTACTCTGAGAATGTAAAAAACTTTTTTAGACTACTAGATCTAAAATTTCTGCAATCAAGTGAATTCATTGTTTTGGAATCCTTCATCATACCATTCTGGCACTCATTCCTTTAAATGTGAAGCTTATTATCTACTAGGGATCCAGGGGACTGCAATCCAGAGGTTCATTCTTATGCTCTTAGGTTTCTTTTCCATGACACAACTAGATAGACACACAGTTATCTGTAGTTATATAATTGATTGTGCTACCTGCAATTAAATTCCATAGGCATATTCCAGCAGGGCCTTTAATGGCGCGATAAGGAGCCTTTAGTATATTGTGGACACAAAACCCAAAACTGACGAGTGCAAAAGCAATAGCTGAGAAGAGGAAGAGGATTATTGCCACGTGGAGAGAGGTGTTCAGAGTTTTCACCATGTCTGGAAAAACTGAAAATACAAACATCATACATTTAATTATATAACACAAACAATACAGTAACAAGGTTACCAGCTAAATATATCCAGTGTTCTCCAGCTCAGTAATCAGTTAAAGTGTGCAGTAGAACATTGTGAGTCTAGTTTTGAGTTCAGAGGTGAGACATTCAAAGGGAACCTGACTAGGTAAAGTGAATGTTACATTTAAACTATAGCTGTCATCCCTGTAAGGAAGTGCTAAGATTAGCAAGACATGGGAAAGGGTATGGATTTAAAGAGACTCCAACAAAAGACACCTACAATTCCACAGTGTAAATGTGAATGCATAAGGGGGTAACAACTCAATTATATTGAGTGCTAGCTGAGCTTGAAGACTATTTGCACTCAAGGTATGGAAAACGCATAGACTGAGACACCAACCAGTGTGCCCAATCTACACTAGTATTGCCCAACTCCTTCTGGCTTGAAACCTGGAATTGGAAGAGCTAGGCACACACCTCCAGTCATTTTATTCTTTTGCATTCTATCAGCCTTTTAATTTTTGCATTTTTCTTTCTATACCCACAGTTTCCTTCTTTATATCTTCTTCAGCTTACCACCTATTTTCCTTTCTAGTCTCGTAGCCTTATGTTTCTTGGTTCTTTGTCTCTCAACTTATTTCACATAATATCATTACCTATCTTTCTCAACCCTCCCTTTTCTGTCTATGGCCATTTTGTCAGAGTTCCCCTCTACCGTATCCCTTTTATCTCCCCAATCTATCTCTCTCAGTTCTGTTGCTCTTTTCTGTTGCTACACCATTTTCATTTTTCTCTCTCTGTATGTCACTTGCCCGTTTTCCAACCTTAGTTCTGCCACACTTTCTGCCACTTGACATTTACTAAATCTGTATCTTCTTTGATGTGTGGCTGAATGTTTTACTTGTAGGGTCTTTATGTCTGTTTGTCAGCATTTCAGACCTTGTCGTTATGCCTGTCTGACACTTTTTTCAGCTTGCTGCTGTGTGTTGTTAAATGAACAGACCCTGGAATGTTATTTAATCTTATATCTGTTGTGTCTTTTAACCCCTTCACACTCCATATTAATTTCCCTTTTTGGGACTGCAGGGTGAGAATTCGATTTTCTATGTAAACAATGTGTAATTTGTATAGAAAATGTTTCTTTGAATAATTTATTGGTTAAAAAGTGACACCCTAACATCAATTCTTCCTCCCCATGGAGAGTCCCTCTCTATCTGTCTCCTCTCTATTATCATTCTGTATCATTCTGTCTTACTGTGTATAATTATATTCCTATTTTTTTAAACTTTCCTCAGTCTATTACTATTGTTTTTTAGTTTATGTTTTATTCTGTATTTCTGTTTTATTTTTTTTCTTGGCATTTTAACCCAGTCAGAGTAATTCTTTGGAAATGTATCATATATATGTATTTTTGTCTGGTTATAAAGAATTACAATATACATATATATATATATTGTATCACTTGCTCATGACGAATAGTTTAATTATTACAATGTGGTCATAACTGAAGGTGAAAAAAAAACTAATTTAACAAATACATGTTACTTATTTTTTATATCTAAATAACTTAAAATACATAAAATTTGATTTAAAAAAATTAAAACAATACTCACTAGTGAACGTGAAAACTCGCTTTCCCAATCCACACTGTCTCACTTTTCTACCCTGGAAGAGTCCATAGTAAATGTCCCCAATAAATTTCACCAATTCTGGATCCGAAGCATTAACCAAGTCAACTCCTGTTTGACAAAGGGTTTTTCCAGTCATCCATTTCTGAGTTGCCATGGCAACGATTATCAACAAAAAGGATACCAAACTAAAAGCAGAAGCCAGAGAAAATATAATTTTCTTAAAGCATCCAGGCATCCTAACGCGTTTAAGAAATCATCCCTGGCATTGCAGTGCTACACAAGCACTCTTTCAAATGATTTTTGGATATTTGAGGGTTACTGAGATGATTGGATAGCTCCATAGTTAACCCAGTGTTTGGAGGATGAAGATGTCCCGCATACCTACGAAAATTTCAGCCTGCAGCTTGAAAAGCACTTTGCAATGGAGATCTTCAGGGATAGGTAAACTGGTGTAGCTTTGATCCTAGAGGCAGTAACCTAATCTGTGTCGCCCTCCTAGGATTTCATTAGCCGCTTTTATCGTCTCTTGTTTTAAATACTCAAATAACAATCGCTGTAAAGTGGCAGAGGAAATTATTATTATTACCGGCTTTATATATAAAATAAATAACATATTCCAAAGTAAGGAAAAGAAAATTGATTTGGGTCTTGCTCAAAAGATGGTAATTATTGAGAAGAAGGTGAAATAGAGCTAGCTCTGTTAGTTGTATGTCTGCCAAATATTCCTGATCTGGTGGAAGCATCCCAAATTTGTGTTCTATTCTACTGTCAAATGTTTGTTTCCTGGTGTGCAAGGGAAATGTCCACAACTGACACTTTCACGAGTTTCTCGTACATCTCTAATTATTATTATTGGTATTTATATAGTGCCAACTAATTCTGCAGCGCTTTACGATATTATGAAAGGGGGGGAAATTTACAATAAATGAGACAATTACACAGTGACACAGGAACAACAGGTAGATGCGGGCAAACGGTTTAACTACTTAAACAAGGGGGCAAAAAGGCACTCCTGGCACCATAACCACTGCAGCACCACTACACTCCAATCTTGCTTCCTTAGAGCTTGGGGTTGCAGAAGTACTTCTCTATCACTAATGGACATTAACCCCTAAAGACACATGACATGTGTGACATGTCATGATTCCCTTTTATTCCAGAAGTTTGGTCCTTAAGGGGCTAAAGACGTTATGAACTTTTACTCCTATCATTCTGATGCAGGTTTTACCCTTGTGGCATTGAAATGATTATTATACTCACTTTTGCACATGCAAGAGGTTAATTTAGTTCGTTAAAGAAGATGAGATTTTTTTGGGGGGGTATGGGAAAGTTAGAAAGTTATGTGATGGCAATAGAGGATACAAGGAGAATCTTAAAAAGGTATACACAACTCATGTCATTGAATTGCAATTACTATTGTTATTTGTACGAATGTCTATGGATTTCATTTTTATGAAATTTTATAATGGGATTTACTGGTAATGTAAAAAAAAAAAAAAAACGGTAACTAAGCTGAGCTCTAAACTTCGTGTACTGCTGTTAATTAACACAGAGACAGAGAAGACACTGAAACAGAGACAGTGATGCCTTCTATGTTGCAATTTCCTGCTATTATACTCCAAAAATCAAAAGCTGCTGTTTTGCTAGCAATTGAAACATTTAAATCAGATGTTTGGAATGTCAACAGACATCTTTTCATTATAGCACGATTTGTCTCAAACGGTGATTAGCAACAGAAGAAGAATGTATTTTTTTTTTACATATATTGCTACACAATAATATACTACTTACATGAATACTGACATGTTTAATATCTTAATATAATCTTTATGTTATACATATAAAGCATCTCATTACTTTTCTTTTGCATGTTTATTGAATTTTATGAAGAAATCATTTGCCCACCATTGAAATTCCACCCTAATAGCCATCTATACTAGTATGCTGATAAGTAAAGTAAATATGCCCCCTTCCCTCCTGTGTTTCTGGATCTCTGTAGTCACTTGGATCTTTTTAAATATCTCTGGGAGCCCAATAAGATCGTATGGAAAAGCCCAAAACTAAAAATTAAGCTCCTTGATCTACAATCTGACTATGCAGTAGGACAAGAAAATATGAGGCTTCTAAATCCACTGAAATCTCACGAAATGATTGGTTGAGAGAACTGGACTCCACCTTGAAGATTTAGATATATATTTTTGTCTTACGAGGGTGCAAGATAATTTTTAGACAGAAAACATTCAGAACTGCTTTTCTTGAAAGGAAGAATGAGTCCTGATATGGAAAATCCTAGAGATGGATCAACGGTCCATTCTATACAAGGATGGCCTGAATTACGCGCTTACTGCCTTATAGGATTGTCATCTCCAATTTGATCATCTGCCTGCCTATGAAGAACCTATTCAGCTAAACATTTTAACAATCTGAACTTGGGGAGGAAGGGTTTCTTGCCCTCTATAACCTCGTAAACGCACTGGCCAAACAATAGTTCTTCTTAAAATAGCAGTACAAGTATTATACTTGAATCCCATTTTGGGGAGGTGTGTATGTGCAGGAAATTATCTACCATGGACAAGGTTGCATAATGCAACATCATGATGAAAATATCTACTGCTGCTTCTGGAAAACACCTGTCAGTAGGCCAATATCTGTATGTGACTGTCAGAGTGGGTGCTTAAAGGAACACTATAGTGCCAGGAAAACAAACCTCGGACCCCCCTTCAGCCACTTACCTTAGTTTAGTGCCGGGCTCCCTCAGCGCTGGTGACCTCTCCTCCCCCTGCTGATGTCAGCTCCCCAGTGGAGCCGAATCTGCATGCGAGGCCAGAGCCGCTCTCGCTTTCAAACCGCCCATGGGAAAGCATTACTTAATGCTTTCCTATGGGGATCTGAATTCACACTGCGTGAGGTCAATGCGATTTTCTCACTGAGAATCCCGGTAGCGCCTCTAGTGGCTGTCAGGGAGACAGCCACTAGAGGCTGGATTAACCCTGCAATGTAAACATAGCAGTTTCTCTGAAATTGCTATGTTTTCAGCAGGCAGGGTTCAAACTAAGGGGACCTGGCACCCAGACCACTTCATTGAGCTGAAGTGTTCTGGATGTGTTTCTTGTTTGTAATTCTTTTTAGATTGTATAGCTATATATAGGTAGTTTTTGAAGCTGTATCAGCTTTAGTTTTGCTGGGATGGGACAGATTAGGAAATTTCCCTAGGAGCTGAGAGAAATGGCATCTGAACAGGTTAGATGGCATGTAATCTTAATGTCTCTATTAGTGAAAGAAGAATGTGCAAGCATGCTAGAGTACAGTGAGTGAGTGTGCTTCTCTTACCCAGCCAATAATCCAATCTTAAAGGAACACTATAGGGTCAGGAACACAAACATGTATTCCTGGCCCTATAGTGTTAAAACCACCATCTAGCCCCCCTCCTTGCCCCCCATAAATATAACAAAATCTTACGTTTACTTCAGTCTGCTGCTGCTGGCTCTGCCCCTGATCTGCCTACTTGGCTGACATAATCAGAAGTGATTCTCTCAGCCAATCACAATGCTTTCTCATAGGAAAGCATTGGATTGGTTGAGATTGTAAATTCTAATGATCTCAGCCAAGAAGGTGGGCCGGGTGGGGGTGGGGGGTGCAGAGCTAGCTAAACACAGCCCTGGTCTCTCCTCATAGAGATGCACTGAATCAAAGCTTAGCTACTTCAGGCTAAATGTTCAATAACCCTGACTACCTTTTTAGAACAAAAATAATAATAATTAACCACTGCCCCTCAAGATTAAAAGAATTCTATAGTGCCAGGAAAACAAACCCATTTTTCTAGTGCTATGGAATCCTGCAGTGCCCCCCTTCAGTCACCTACCTGAATCCAGCGCCGATGTCCCTCAACCCTGGGTCAGGCTCTGCTCACTCTCCTCCCCGGCCGTCAGGGGGAGACCTAATGCGCATGTGCGGCAATGGCCGCACTCTCATTAGTATTTACCCATAGGAAAGCATTATTCAATGCTTTCCTACGGGGAAAAATCTGACTCTGGAAGTTCTCACGCAGAGCATGAAGATGTCCAGCATCAGATAACAGACCAAAGCTCCGTTTCGATTCCGGAAGTCCCTCTAGTGGCTGTCTGGTAGATAACCACTATAGAAGGAGTTAACTCTCAGAAACTGCAATAATTACCACTGCTTGGTTAAGGGACATGGGACATTGCACCCAGACCACTTCAATGAACTGAAGTGGTCTGGTTACCTACAGTGTCCTTGTAAGATACATTCGTATCTTGCTGGGTCATTTTTTCTGTTTGGATACTTTAACTTTAAATTAGCTTTGTATTCGCCTTGAATTCTTACTTTAGTGAATAACCCTATTACTTGCAAAATACCCACACAAACAAATAGGCTATAACAATGGATATATAATTTTTTTTTTGTGCATATTTTTTTAATATTTTTTGGTGGGGTTATTTACTAAACTCCAAATGGTAGCGAATTGAAATCCAATTGGCAGACAATTCTGACTAAAATAGCCAACGTGTAACATTCGTCTGCATTCGGAATTTAGTGAATAGAGCTCATTGCACAGGACTATTTACAAGTACTGACATCAGGGAACAAGAGCATGTCAAGCTAAGCCACGCCCACAACACTCAGTTCCTGCGTTCGAACGTATCAACGCTGAAGGCGGAGCGCATCAACCCAATAGGACGCTGGAATATCTCAGAACGGGAACGCTCGATCAGAACGCTGGAGGGAGTGACGTCAGTGCAGGAGGAGTCATGCTGCAGACCCAGGCTTCTTCAATGACAGACACTGCTAATCAGAGAGCACTTTAACCCAGGGACTGACTCACTATGGCTGCTGCAGCAGAGGCTCACAGAGTGCTGGTGTATGGAGGAAGAGGGGCTCTAGGTTCCAAGTGTGTGGAATACTTTAAATCCAAGAACTGGGTAAGTCAACTAACAGTGATTTGTATGTTAAAATAATCTTTTGCAGCACTTGTTTTTTTTTTTCTTGACACTATTATATATTCAATTTCCCTGTACGGTTCTAAGTGGATGTTGAGAGTTGTAGTCTTTTCTGGAAGCCATCTAAACATTTAGGGTAAAACTGTGTTGTTGTTTTTTATGACCAGTGATGGCCCACCTGTTGCATTACTGCTGCTGTGGACTACAAGTCCCAGGAATCCCAGACAGCTATTTTGCTGGCTGAGGATCACATGACATTAACTCCACAACAGCTGGAGCTTATAAGTTGTGTTTTCACAGTTTGCATGTATCTGATTGATTGTATTCACTAACAGTCAAACATTTTTCTATTTTTCCTCTTCTTAGTGGGTGGCATCTATAGATGTAACAGAGAATGCTACTGCTAGTGCTAATATTGTGGTGAAGCTGTCAGATTCATTTACTGAACAATCTGATCAGGTAAGTGTGTAATTTTATATGTAGCTTCTCTTAATCATTGTATTGACCTGTATATTTGCAAGACCAGTTGTTGAGATCTGTAGAAACTTGACCAGTTTGTGACAAGGAATTAGGAAAATCAGACCCAGAAGGAAATAGATGGGCAAAGGAAACATCCCTTGAGTTGGTAGGGTCATAACTTGCATGAACATCATGTGAGTTGTAGTTTCACATCACTAGTCTGTCATTGGTTATCAAAACAAGGCTTCTAGTGTTCCAGGTTTAACATTATTATATGTGGTAAAACTGGGAAATCTCTGAACCTTGAACCTTAAAGAGTGTGTAGACTAAGTAAGGAGAGATTGATGGAAGATTTAGAACAGTGACTTGATTAAAGAGGTGCTGAAACATTCTAAAAGTGGAGCAATTGTCAATGTAAAAAAATTGCAAATTCTATTAGTTTCCATAGTAATGGTAAAGTATAAGCGGGGAAATAATTCACTGATTCAATGGTGTGGTGTTCTTTTTTTTTTTTTTTTTTAAGTTGAGAATGCAGCAACTGACACTTCCAGGTTTGCCGGGAATTCAAAATAAATTGCAAATTTAACACCAAAAAAGCTGGATTGGGAAAAATGCTTCCCGTTTGGTTATTTTGGTCTAAAAATGTAAATTTCCTTTGAATTCCTGACCATTCTCCTTTTTATTGAGTAACTCTATATATGTAAATAGGAGAGCTCGATTAATGCAAGGGATATTTAATGATTTTAAGATGAAATGTGTGATAAAGAATTGTCGATAAGCAAATGAATAGGGACAAGAAAATTGCTTCTGCTGTGACCCAAAACCTCCCATGTTGCTCCATGCAGATAGCCTCACCAGGCACAGTAAGAGTCAAAGTGCAGAGCAGATTGCTTTAATTCTGGTCAAATCTAGCCAATTTCATATTTATTTAGTAAATGGTGAATTGACATGGGGTTTGCAAATTTTAGACCAAAAAAATTTGAAATTTCTCGATCTCCACCATATTTCTATGGTTTTGACTTTTATCCACTGATTATTTTTTTTTTATTATTTATTTATTTTTTTCTAAACAGACATTTTCTGGAGACATAATGTTGTGTCTTTAGAAATGTGCAACCTCTCATGTTAGTTTTATGTCTGAATGTTATATTTTTATTTTTTCTTAACTTGTTTCTTAGGTCACATCTGCTGTTGAACAGCTCCTGGATGGCCAGCAAGTGGATGCCATTTTGTGTGTGGCTGGAGGCTGGGCAGGTGGCTCGGCAAAGGCGAAGTGTAAGTTCTATTTATTCTGTAGTTAAAGGACCACTGTAGGCACCCAGACCACTTCAGCTTAATGAAGTGGTCTGGGTGCCAGGTCCAGCTAGGGTTAACCCATTTTTTTTTATAAACATAGCAGTTTCAGAGAAACTGCTATGTTTATAAATGGGTTAATCCAGCCCTTAAATCCTCTAGTGGCTGTCTCATTGACAGCCGCTAGAGGCGCTTGCGTGATTCTCACTGTGAAAATCACAGTGAGAACACGCAAGCGTCCATAGGAAAGCATTGTAAATACTTTCCTATGAGACCGGCTGAATGCGCGCGCAGCTCTTGCCGCGTGTGCGCATTCAGCCGAAAGGGAGGAGAGGAGGAGGATCGGAGACTGAGAACTCCCCGCCCGGCACTGGAGAAAGGTAAGTTTTTTTTTAATTTTATTTTTTTATTTTTTTTAAAATCCCCTTTCCTCTCTCCAGTGCCCGGCGGGAGGGGGACCCTGAGGGTGGGGGCACCCTCAGGGCACTAGAGTGCCAGGAAAACGAGTGTTTTCCTGGCACTATAGTGGTCCTTTAATCTGCTCTAAACACTGCTACAGTATCTGTTTAGTAATAAAGTCTGCTAGTTGGGAATATAGTCCAAAATAAATGTGAGGATTGGTTGCCAAAGCACCTTCATCATTTAAAACCATAATTGTAATTTGTACAACTTTTTATCAGGAAAAGAGTAGTTTGCGAGCATATTTTCCTCATCTGTAAATTGCACTTGGGGGGGGGGAAGTGGGATACAATCACCACCCATTACATTGGGTAATATAGTTCAAGGAGCAATTCACAGTGAGTCAGCAGGTTTATTTGCCAATGTGTGTGTCTGGCATTAATTCTTGCTGGGGTTGAACTCCACATGCAAACTGCTCTTGTAAGTTTTCATGTCCTTCTTTCGTGTGTGTGTGTGTGTGTGTGTGTGTTTTTTGTTTTTTTTTGTTTCTGAAGATTAATGGTTTTTATTTGTCCCTCCAAGGCTGTGACATCTAGAGCTGACCTACACATTCAAAGGGTGTCTTACGTAGGGCTTTACTTACTATAGTGGAGTAATACCAAATTAGGGCAATATATTATTTTCATTTTATATGTATGTGTATATGTAAAAAAAAACGATACAATTCGTATCTTGTAATACACTTTTTTTTTATTTATTTTTTTTTTTTTATTGGACTAACAGAATTTTTTAATGACAAGCTTTCGGGAGGGCCTGCCTCGCTCAAGTCTGAAGCATTTCTGAGCAAGACAACACATAGAATTCAAAGTGGAGTTGTGATACAGGGGTTAAAGTGACATGAGTGTAGATAAGACACAGGTTTGATAAAACAGACACCCTTCTTGCAGAGGGTCATAAATATCTTTCTGAAGATCAGAGTGAGGGGGAGAGAGGAAAAAAACACAAGCAGACAGTGCAGAAGATGGTAGAATAAATTGGAATGCATTTAAAAATGTTGATCCAAATGACAGAACAGTAAGATAATGTGGGGGAGTGTTCATGTAACGTGTTGGTAGTGGGACAGGAAACCCAAATCAATATTTAGTCCTCTATTCTTGCTGTTAAACAATTTGATTATTCTGGCTTCAAAAGTTTGTTTTATTATTTTTTTTTATTTATTTTTTTGAGTATTTCTAAAACCCCCTTTCAGTACTTTGATTTTTATGTCCTTCACCGAGTGGCCAGGCTGGGTAAAGTGGTGTCCCACAGGAGTGCAGTACAATCCTTCTTTGTGGTGTTTAATAGAGTGTGTGTCTGTGCATCTTCATTCTGCCATTTAATGACTGGGTGGTTTTCCCCAATGTAGCATTATCTATCTCTAACAGCCTAAATTTTGCACTTTATTCCTTTTTTATATATTTGTGTAAATCATTATCATAACCCTTTCTATACTTTGTTTTATATTGTTTTGTGTTTCCCAGCTTATACATGCAAAAAGAAACCGGGGGGGGGAGGAGAGAGAGAGAGAGATATATTTATAAAAAAAAAAAAAAAAAAATCTCTGAACGGAGAGGCAAAATATATCACTATATGTTTTTGATGAGCTGTGGTTTCAGTGGTTAATAATTACACTGCAAGATAATGGTTGACCATATATTGATTTGCTCTGAAGAGCATAATTTTTTATTTTTTTTTCTAGTAATCTGTGTTTTTATTTAAAAAAAAAAAAATATTCACTTGTGTCCTTGTCAGTCTGGTCTAATCATACATCCTGCACATCAAATAACCCATCAGGATAAGGAGGTCATTAATAAATCCTCTAAAAATGTAAAGCGAAACTTCAGTCTGGAAATGACCACTCACTTTCAATGGATAACATAAAATGAGAAACAAAAAAAAAAATCTTTTTCTTCTCCAGATTAACGGCCATTAGTGTTTGCTTTAACATTTTATTTACAAATGGTTGTAAGAGGCACATTCTATCCATTAGGCCCCCTGGTCACATGTTATTGGTGAACTGTTTGACCCTGACATGTGGCTTCCCTTGCTCTTGCTACTGACCTTCCAGTTTGACTTTTATGCCAGCAACCTCTTGTGTAATAGCCAAAGGCTCCAGGCTAGACTGTTAATAGTTTTAGGCAAGCAACTGGAGGCTATGGATTACTCAACCAACACATTTTTGATTTGGTTATAAATTATTTTTATTTTTTTAATGAATAGGATGCTAACAATCTGAAAGGTGTGTAGCATATGTCTTCCACCTCCTGGACATGTTTCTCATATATATATATATATTTTATTTTGAGGTTACCTCCAGCTGTTGCGCATATTTATTTATTTGTCATGTAGATTGTAGGCATTTTTTTTCTCTCTGCCACTTAATCTTCTAATATCTAATAATTAGGATTATTATTTAAATCTTATTTTATTTTTCTTATCTTTTCACACCAACACCTATTGTACATAATGTAGGTTATAAACCATTTAATGTTAATACATGCACTCAAAGTACCAGTAACACAGATTGCAGTTACATTATCAGTTAGCTGATATAGCATTGTTGTAATTGTTATGCCTGTTGGGGATTAGGAGCTGAGGAATATCCCATGTAAGTGAACCAACATTCCCACATTTCAGCAAAGCGTTTGTTTGGGGCTTGTTGGACACCGTATAGTAAGTGCTTTGTGTTAATACTGTTTAATAAGGACCGCTTTTTGTACTGACCTATCCAGGAGGAAAGCAAGCATTTTCAGATCAATAACTTTGATGTGGCTGACTGTGTATCTCTTTAAAAAAAAAAAAAAAAAAAAATATATATTTTTTTTTTTTCTCCGTAGCCTTCTATAAAAGCAGTGATCAGATGTGGAAGCAGAGTGTTTGGACGTCAACCATCTCAAGTCATCTTGCAGCAAAGCACTTAAAGGACGGGGGTCTGCTTACACTATCTGGGGCAAACGCAGCTTTGTCCGCAACCCCAGGTGAGTTTGGAGAAATTTTGTATTCTTCAGTGTTAATTTGACAATGGAGATGTATTTTGTGGGCTTGTATTCTTCCAGTGTGTAATGTATTCTGTTCACTGTACTATATTAGGTACCACACTTTTGCAAAAAAAATATTTTTTTTGGCTATATTTTGTACTTTAATTTAAATTCACTAATTCAGTGTTTTCCAGGCAATCAATAAAAGGCTGACAATTCTTAAGAGATGTGGGTGTTACTAAATCAGGACTGTAATACTGTCAGGATTACAGTATGATCCAGCACGTAGAATTGTGTAACATAGGAGACTAATAGGTAACGTATACCAGACCTTAGAATGGCCGGACTAATGTACCAAAGAATAGTCAGGAATAGCCGAGGTCAAGGGACACAGAAAGATACGATAAAGAAAAAGCCAGGGGTCAGGAATGCCAGAAAACAGGGAAGTCAAAATACCAGAATAACCAGAATCAATAACGCGCTCTCAGACAACCACAAGGGAAACCATGACAGAGCACTGAGCAAGAGGAGAACTGTATCTGACTGGATCTGATTGGTTGTAACCAGCATTTGACCCCAAAGGCAGTTACCAGGTTCCTATTTGCATGATTGCTGCTCAGCACAACTTTTCCTGTCAAAACAGTAAATGTCGTTAATCACATTTTTATATGCGGGTGAATACGTGACCAATACATAAGATGGAAAGGGCAGCATGCACCCATCTCATGTGAGGAAATGAGGTGTATGTATTTTTCTCGCAGATTCTGATCTAGAATTAAAGTAAATTAATAGGGCAGAATATTTTCATTGTGAAAAATTATACTTTTTCAGGAAAATTTACACTGTTTGTTTGAGGTTTGTCATGTAAAAGCATTTTTTTCTTTTTTTTTTTTTTTTTCAGCTTCATAATCTTTCAGATGATATTGTTACAAAAGTAAACTAACTTTAGCCCCCTTGTATACTTGGTACCTCTAATTGTTACATTTGCTTACCCTATGATCTTAACCAGGACAGTAAAGTCTGGAACAATTTAGAGTTTTTCTTTGTTTTTGTTTTTTTCTCATTAAAAAAATCTATTCACATTTTGGTGGCTTTTAACTTGATACAAAAATAACAGCTATAATGCATAAAAGTGAAGAAAATGAAATGATTTACGTATGCTTGTATGGGCTGCTGTTTGAACTTTCTTTTACAACTTCAAATGGAATCTGTTGAATTTGTCCTGTGACCTTTTTGTTCTTCACATGTGTGTTTCATTACACATAGCAGACAGTGTGTATTGCAAAAGAAGCATTTTTCAATACTTGTCCATGATTTATTTCAGATAACTGCCTAAATACACATTTTAATTAAACAAGAATTACTTGTGGTAATTTTTCTTTTTAATTATTTTATTTATTTTTTTTTCTCCGTTGCCATAATTATATTAGGGATTTTTTTTTTATCTTGATCTTCATTTTTAACAAAACTTATAAATTTAATTTTCCCTTCATATCTCTGTTTTTGTGAATATTAAAAAACAAAAAAACCTCACCACTTTATTGGAACATGAACAGTGACAGGTCTCTAAGAATGGATTGACACAAACCAAGGGTCACTAAAGTGATTGCAGCCTGGCTTGTCTCTCATTGTATTGCTTCTATGTAAGTTTATTTATTTTTTATTTTTATTTCCCCATTAGCAATGTCTATTTCATCCAGGTTTGGACAGTATTTATTGGTTGAAAATGCTAGCTGATCAGCAGCCAATTGATGCTGTCAAAATTGACACTGCTAATGTCGAAGATATCCTCAGCAGTACGGTCCGTGTTTTTTTATTTTTTTTTTTTTTTTTATTTATTTATTTATTTTTTTCACTGTCCAAGGCCCAGCCATTTATCACACCTTTTAGAGACCTGTAGCAAAGTTTCATCTCAGTGGAGTCCTGTGAGCATGGAACTGCAGCTCCATCAGCCCTTCCTTGTTAAACCAACCCTTATAGTGACCGCTTTAAATGCTAAGTAATGTGTATTTTGTTGTGCATGTTTAGAAATCCAAAATGGTTTGTGTCTCTTGTTTAAATAAAGTGTGTGTGTGTGAATTTAAAGGATGGCTCTCTGACTGTTGTCTTATAAAATTTTAGTGTGAAATCTATCTATCATCATTTTAACAATTTTTTTTTTTTTTTTTTATTATTATTCTTTTTTTTTTTTTTTTTAGGCATGGCAGCTTATGGCATGGCAAAAGCAGCTGTACATCAGCTTTGTCAGAGTCTTGGTGGTGAGAAGAGTGGATTGCCTACAAATTCTGCTGCTGTTGCTATCCTGCCGTGAGTAGTTTACTTGTCAAATAAGGTTCTGGACTTTTTAGACTTTTGTGTTAGAGAACCTTTAACCCACATTTTTTTTATATCTGATAAAGCAGCACTCTTTTAAGCATCATAATTACTATAGTGCACTTCCTACAGTTCCAGTCACTGCCTCCACTACAACCTTCAGAGAGGCAGTAGCTAGACTTCTTTAACACTAAGCCTGGCATCAGCTGATCAGTTTAGCCAGTGTGCTAGTCCTGCGTGAGCTGGCTGCAGGGAGCAGTGTCTGGCACAGCTCGGGTAAGAAATTAAACTGCTTAAAAGTGGTTTCACTTTGTACAGTGGACTGTACGGGGTACTCCTGGCAACATAACCACTAAAGTGTGTTGTAGTGGTTAGAGTGTGTGACGTGTTCATTTAATGATTTTATATAAATAATTCATTAAAACGAGAAGTCTAATTTTTAAAGTTCCTGTCGTGCTACAGATCCCCAAGCAAGCAAAATCAGTGAGCTCTAATCAGACTATCCAGTCGCTCTATCGGTCAAAGCCTCTTATGCGCCTCTTATGCTGATCTATGGGGTCTGATATTGTCACTGGGGTTAATGAGAAATGCTTACTAGCCCGTGACAGTTGTATTAAAGGGTTTTTCTACTTTAACCACTACATGACAAAGGAAAACCAGGTTGTGCCTGACATAACATACAATCATTGTTTAAAAGAAAGCACATGTTCTTTGAATTCTATGGTTTACATATTGGGGATATAATAATCTCTTCTAAAGGTATTAACATTAGGTAAATAAAACACATGACAGATTACACTAACTGTTTTATGATTTATTTAACAAAAATAAAGTCAAAATGGAGAAGCCATGTGTGGAAAAACGAAGTACACCCGTGATGCTTCCATAGGAATTAGGAGGCCAAGTAGCAGATTGGTGCTGCTAACCAAATTCCCTTGATTAATTTATCATCAGCAAGTGTGACCACCTCTATAAAAGCTGAAGTTTTAGTAGTTACGTGGAAAAAGAATGAACATGTATGGTTTGTTTGGAAGGTTTTCCAGAAGAAAGCCTCTTCTCTCTAAAAGAATGTGGCAGCACGGCTTAGATTTGCAAAGTTGCATCTGAACAAACCACAAGACTTCTGGAAAAATGTCATTTGGACAGGTAAGACCAAAGTGGAGATGTTTGGACATAATACATAGCATCCCATTTGGTGAAAACCAAACACCTCTGATTTTTCAAGCATGGTGGGGGGGGGGGATTTATTTGTTTTGCAGCCACAGAACCTGTATACCAACGTATTCTAGGGTCAAATGTGAGGCCATCTGTACGACTGCTGAAGCTTGGCCAAAATTGGGTCAAGTAACAAGAAAATGATCCCAAGTACACAAGCAAGTTTACAAGAAAAGGGCTGAAAAGAATCAAGTTGTTGCAACGGCCCAGTCAAAGTTCTGACCGCAACCCGATTTGAAATGCTGTGTCGGGACATAAGCAAATGCCAACAAACCATAACAAACTGAAGCTACGTTGCAACGAAAAATGGGCCAAAATTCCTCTACAACAAAATGAGACAAATAACCGATATTAGTGCTTAGCCAAACTGCACTCACACACCGGTTAGCTCCATCAACCATGATATATAAATGTGGTTCTGCAAGCTATTGAAATCATAAGGTGTACTATAAAGTATACAGCATATTTTACAGTGAGAATGCATGGACAGAGGCATTGCACTAAAAGTAATCTGTAGTGGTTATAAAGCTCTGGGGGGAAAATGTTTCTAAACCTATATTGATATGATTATTTTGCATTTTTAGGGTGCTTTTGTTTTTTATTTTGCACAATATTGGAAAATCTAAAGAAAATCTTGCATGCAGCACAGATGTTTATGAAAGAGTGTTTCAATTTTATACATTTCCCGTGTTCTGTTTCCATACCGTCTGCTGGTTTTGTGTGCCGGCGGCTGGATGATAACTGGTTTGTATGTTCCGTGGTTTAATAAGCTTATCTCTTTCATTCTCAGTGTTACCTTGGATACGCCTGCCAACAGAGCATCAATGCCAGAAGCAGACTTTAGTTCCTGGACACCCTTAGACTTTATCGCTGAGTGAGTACATGATATGTTCTTATCTGACTGAGCTCCACTGCACACTGTGTTCCTCTCACTGTGTTGTTTGCCCTTTATTTCCATTTCACACCAATGTAGGATGATTAATTTCTGAACCATTACCCACCCTTTTTATTAATGTTCTGTGTAACTGGCAACTTTCAATTATTATCCATTAATAAAATACATTGGATGGTAATTATATGTAACTTTCCTTTTTGTCTTTAAATGAGCAGCTATCATGAATGTAAACCTAAAAACAGAATAAAATCAATGTGTACTTTTATTTGAGGTTGTGTACACTGTTGGATAGATGCAATACTACATGGCAGTACAATTTAACGGAGGACTTGGCAGAAGTGTCTGATCGGTTCTAACGTGTAACTCTGGGCATTAAAGCAGGATGTATAATTAGTCTGTTTGGAAAAAAGCCCTCCAATAACTATAACCTCCTGAGCTTATTGTAGTTGCTATGTGTGAGGCTTTTTTTTGTTTTCAAGACGTTTGCCAGAATTGGAGGTAGTTTCCTCCCCCCACCTTTTTGACATCTAGTCATATTATAATTCAGCCACACAGAGTAGATGCTGCTTTGTGCCTGAATAACCATCTGATCTTTAGAAACTGCTGAATATTGGTTTATGGTTGTTTCCAGAACTCCTCGATGGCATTTTTATTCTAACAATTATTTTTACATAACCATTATTTTAGCCTGTATTTCATTAAATCTCACCAATTTAATGGTATACTCTGAACACCATAACAACTTTAGCTTGATGAAACCATTTTGATGTAAAGATCATGACACTGCAGTCTCACATTTAGGGCTGCTATCAAACATTTTGGGGCCACTGACACAGCTCCCCGGGGCCTCTTTCCGAGTGCACTCACAGGGCCCATCCTTAGTCCGTCCACAAGGATGTGGTGTATATGGTGAATGTAGAATGTGTGTAGTGCATGTTTAATGCGCATCACGCACATTAGACCTCCGCATAGGAAAGCATTATTCAATGCATTCCTGTGGGGATTTCGGTAATGCTGGAGTTCCTCAGGCAGAGAGTGATGACGTCCAGCGTTGTTTAAAACACTTTTCGTGTTCTAAGAACATGTAAGTCCCTCTAGTGGCTGTCTGAAAGACCGCCACTAGAGGAGGACTGATGGACAACCACTAGAGGAGGACTTAACTTTGCAAAGTAATTATTGCAGTTTACAAAAACTGCAATAATTACACTTGCAGGGTTAAGGGTGGTGGGAGTTGGCACCCAGACCACTCCAATGCACAGAAGTGGTCTGGGTGCCTGGAGTGTCCCTTTAATTTGTTAGTTTGCAGATGAGTTAATGCTGCATTTCATTACATTATTGCAGCCAGCTAAATGTCACTAAATATCTCTGATTACAAGTCATTCCGATATGTTTACTAGTTTCAAAAATTTGGTTAAATGAACTTGAAATATTCAGCTCCTGTTATTCTTTCTGATGAAAACCTTTTATCATTCATTGTACATTTAGCTATTCTGACATTGAAATTTTTTTTTTTTTTGTTTGTCCTTTGAATAGAACGTTTTATAAGTGGACCAATGGAAACAACAGGCCAAAATCTGGTAGTCTCATCAAGGTGGTCACCGAAAAAGGAAAGTCTGAGCTAATTCTTGCTAATTTGTAAGATGAAGTAAATCTGTGATGAATTGAGTCTGGATTTAGTCAGACCCCATCTACAACCCTCACTTATGTTGTATGATATCCATTCAATTTACTGTCAACTTTTTGTCTAAAGTGGTTAAATAGCTATTTTACGGTCTATATGGAATTATTGCCAACCCAAGTATTCAGGTATGTGTTCTCTTAAAGTGTATTTGTAGTTCAACCAATGCGAAGGTTTACATTACATTATTTCTGTTGTTTAAATTGCTTATGACCTGAAAGAGTAATGAAACGAAAACATGAATTTTTGTTTTTCCTGAAAGTCATGTTTTTATTAAACTGTTCTCAGATATAAATGGGTCTTGTGTATTTATTTATATTTCAAGTACAAATACCATTTCCTTTTAATAGCGTTACGTTTTAAAAAGAAACAAAACATTTTTATTGGCTAGATCTAACAAATTTAAAAATATAATTTTATTCTGAGTTATGAATAATGGAGCAGCATAATTGGTTTTCAATATGTGCATTGATTTTTACATCTCTTGCCCTGGACAACGTATGTACACAGACGCAGCTTCTAATGGCAATTTCTTCATAACCTCGGAATGTGCATATTTATGTTTAGAACACCAGCAAATTTATTAACGCTAAATACATTGTGAACATTGAGAATGTTGTAACGAAGATTAGACAGTCTGTAACAATTTGATCTAAAGATGCTCCATGTGTAACACAAAAAAAAAAAAAAAAAAATTTTTTATTGCTTCTCGATTAGGAAAGTCCTTTTTAGATTATGACCTGTCTCGCATATCTTTGGTCATTAAGGGGTTAAAATGTAGACCACATTTAATTTAGTTAGATTAGTTTACTGCCTTTGTTCACCTTCTATCATATTTACTACATGTGATCTCCTGTTGTTGTTGGCAGTTATGGCATGCTCAGTCCTATGAGGGTTTTGTGACCTGTGACCGCACCCACTGGCACACAATGCTTAGTGAGCAGATACTGTGAATAGCTTGGATATTGAAAAAGTCAACGAATGACAGCACTGACGTGATTAAAGCATGCCAATGTAGAGATATGCAGGTTTTATGTATGAGAAAGGATAGCTAACCATTATTGATAAATATCCCATTTAAAAAAATGTATGTCCCATCTTGCATCTTCATGCAAAGCTATATGTGCCTGATGTTTTTAGAGGGGTAAAAAATAAAATCCATCTATCTATCTCAAACCAAGGATGTGACTGCATTCACTATCTGCTAGTAATATTTCTCTATTTTGCCCAGCTGCAGCCACTAAATAGCCAATATATACTATACAAATGTAAGAAAGATGTGGGCACTTATATGGACTTTATGCCAAAGTGACTATTTTATTCCATAATGGTTGCAGAGCTATCATTGTTTCGGACCTCTGATTGTCATTTACCAAGACCATTTCTACAAAACAAAAAAAATCCGGGCAATATGTAACCCAGAGAATTAAAACAAAATTGCTTACCGTACATCTTCACGCATCCGACACAGTGAAAGCTGGAACTTGTGTAGAAACCCTGATGAGAGCAGCACAGATCCCGATGAGGTGCAGATGAGAAATGTGCCCTCCAAGGAACAGCTATGAAAGTAAAAGCATTCCCAATGGAAGAATTAGTACCCGGCAGGTAATGAGTAAAACACCACTGTACCAAAACATCCACTTTAGTGTCAGTAACATAACCAAGTGAATGCTAGTAAAATAAAATGGCGAAAGAGGATTCAAAGCAATTGTAGCAAGGATAATCTGAGAAAGAAATTTATCAGTATAAATGTTAACATACATAAACTGACATTCTCATTAATAGAATATATGATTGACGACTTCTTATAACTACATAATGATTTTTGGTTCAGATTATTAACTGTGTTAAGAATGTGAAGATGTACAGTAAGCAATTTTGTTTTAATTGTTAATTGTACGTGGTGTTGTCTGGATTTTTTTTTTTTTTGGTGTGGAAATTGTCTTGAGAAACATTTTGACAGCTCTGCAACCATTATGGAATAAAGTATAATCGCTTTGACGTAAAGTCCTGTGTGTGTGTGTGTGTGTGTGTGTGTGTACACACGCTTTTCTTTATTTATTATCTACATATCCTGACTATGCCTGCTGTTGATGATGGAACCATTTTTGGTCTTTTGTCACTAGGTGGTGCTAGCATCCTGCAAAAACATATATAGCCCAGAATTCTGAATCATTGCCTTTTGTGTTTTTTGTTTTTGACTCTTCACAAGCGTTCATTTTAACATTCGCAAACTAAAGGGCAAATTCTGCCATTTGGAAAATCAATGCACAGTAGGCTTAGTCAGTAAATGCTTGCTGATGCATTTCAAAGATGAGTTTAGTGTGCGCTTATGCTGAGAACAAAATACAATCATTCAGGTAGGTAGGCTGATCTAAAGGCGTGGCTGCTGTTAGCCTTGGTTCTAGACACACAAGGTAAGAGGGATGCTGTAGCCACTGTAGAATACATTTACTGCATCGTGCCTCATTCTGTACTGAAGTGTGGGATATCTAAAACACCTGCTGTGATTGTGGATGGCTGGGGGCTGACTCAGACTGTGGTTTCTGAAACTCCTTGGGTCTAATTTTATCACTATTTCATTAACACAAAATGCTGGAAAATCTGCAATAAGTGTTCTTATTTTTCACTAAATCTTACAATTTGTAATTGAGACAAAGAACATGCTACATTTTTGTCTCTGTAATATAATTACATATTGGTTAAACATACAAGATACAGTTTTATGCATAGCAATAATGTAGGAAGGATGGTGCCATAAAATATACCCTTTGGACAGAAGCCCCTGGTTTCTTGCCACCTAGCAACACCCCTGCTGTTGCCTGAAATCTTCACATAAATCCATTTCACAGATGGATACATAATTATGTGATCTAATCAAGACTCCGTAATAGTGAAGGCTGTCTAGGAATTTCATTACAAGTTATCAAACACACCGTGAGTTATGGATGTGAATATCTGAGAGCACGTCGTGTTGGCAGCCAATCAGAAACCAAAATTCTAACACTCAATCTGTTCAGCTCCCTGCATTCTTCTTGGAAGAGGGAGTGGATATGTGACTTGGCTGATGTGAGTGCCATTGTGCTAAAAGTAATACAGCTTTGTCATAATTTTTTTTTTTTTTACTAAACTAATAAAAAATGGAGAACTGTTGAACATACTTTAAAAGTAAGCTATACTAACGTAAACCAGTGTTTTAAGAAAACACAGGTTTTGGTTGGAGTGACTATTACCAGCTTCCCCCCTCCAAACTGAAAACAGAACAAACAAAAAACAGAAAAGATTAAAAATATATCGCCATTCCACAGCTGAGGCCAAGTTCACCCTAATCCAGATCTTCCTCTGCTGAAGTCACTCCCACTCTATGGACTGTGAGGTCAGGCTGGGGGTGAGACAGGGGCGGCACAAGGAGAGTACAGCCATTGTCTCTGTCGCTAGCATTCTGGTATCACATGCAAATTCTGCACAGAATCAAACTGATCTTCCGGGTTGGCTAATTGTTATTATTGATATAGCGCCAGCATAATTCCTTGCTGTACAATGGGTGGACTAACAGACACTTAATTGTAACCAGACAAATAGATGCACCGGAACAGAGGGACGGGGCCCTGCTCAATGAGCTTACATGCTAGAGTGAGTGGGGTAGAGTGACACAAAGGGTATAAGTAGGGGTAATGAAATAAGTTGCTAGAAAAGTAATCACTGAGAACTTAGTAGGTTATTTTGACAGTAAGCATCAGAATCTTAAATTGAGCCCTATATATGATACCTACCCAATGTCTCTGCTGGAGAAATATAAATATGGAGAATGGTAGGTAACAAACCAAGGATAGAGAAATATCATGGCAAGTTTAGCTGTTAAACAAGAATACTTGTGGTAAATAGTAAAGAAATAGAGGCTTGAGAACTCTCCAACACACTGGCGATCTCTGTCTAGGTGCATTGATGACGTTTCTGACAGAAGTCAGGATGGAATGTGGGTTCACTACCCTGAATTAACGTGCAACTGGAGGTTAACACAAGGGCTGAAATATACTGATAAGGATGTGTAATAATGATATGCATAAGCAGCAATATGGTGCGCTTTTGTTGACAATGTTAAGAGCGCCTTCAATGTGCTGAAGCACTCCTAACCAAGGGTGTGAAGGGAGGGGGGGGGGGGGTTATGCAACAGATAGATCATTAGAGGGGAAAGAATGCTAACTGGTATCTAAAGGGAAATGGGACACATAGATTAGGCTCATGACTACGGCTCAGACGCCAGAGTAGCAGGGTAACATGGATCATCGGAAATTGACAATAAATAAAAAGCACAATATAAAACTCAAAGAAACTAATGTCAACAAGATAAGTGCTTGTTTCTGAATGCCATTCCACCAAATCACTGAGTCCCAGCTGCTCCTAGGGACAAAAGGTGTTACATTCTACACATCCCACACATGGCCAGTCGTTGATCATATAGTCACATGGGTAAGTGCTGCAAGGCCAAGTAGTATTAATTTATAAAAAAATAAATATAGGATCATTAGAAAGGCAGCGACAATTTGATCCTGTCCTATGCGACATACACCTTTTCCATGCAATGAAGATTATACTGGTAGTTTAGGTAAATACTGAAGTAAAGGAAAAAGCAAACCATAATATATAAAGATGCACTTAAAAAGATTTTTCTGCATTGAATTTGCAAGCATTAAACATGTACCAGCGCTAGTCACTCAAGTAGGAATTGTCATGAATTAAAAGTTCATTTTAATTCTAAAGGAAAGGTGGTGCGAATATAATCCTGGGTTCCTAACGCTATATTGCCCTAGTTCATAGTTTAGTGCCCCACCCCCCTTTTGCAATAAAAATAAATTAAATATTTTACTCACCTTTTCAAGCATTGAGGATCCCTTGGTGCTGCTGAACTCACAGCCATGTCTTCATCAAGGAAGCATTGCTTCTTCAACTGTGGTCCAATCCATTGATCATCATGGTGGAGCATTGGGGACTAATGTGCATGTGCATCCAATGCTTCTCATAAGAAAACATTGAAACCAGTGCTTTCCTGTGAGCCGAATGTCACATGACAGAGTTTCTCGGTCGTTGCAGTTGAAACACCTCTAAAGCACAATACCTCGGGGAGACAGCCACCAGAAGAGTGTTAAACCTTTCAAGGTAAGCATTGCCAATTCTGCAACACGGCAATGTTTTACTCTGACGAGTTAAAACTGCAGGACCATTACACCCAGACAACTTCATTGAGCTGAAGTGGTCAGAGTGACTCTAGTGGACCTTTTGAGGCCAAAATAGAAT